AGCCAGAACCAGCGGCCGATGTCTTGGGGAACGACAGCGCCGCCGACTTCGAGGAGCACGGGGGCGAATAGAGGTGGAAGGGGCGGCGAAAGAGGCGGTGCGAGGCGCCGGGGGCAAGCTTCAGGGCTTAAAAGTAGGCTACCGAGGAACCCCACATACCAACTTTGGGTCCTGCATGGGCATTTGATTTTGCACCCTGCTTTGTTCGAACTTGTCATGGGCGCGCGTCTGCGCGATGCAGCGAAGCGGCGCCACCGCGCCCTTCGATGTAGAGTCTCTGGGCTGCGAGCAGCCTACGAAAATGCCACCTTCGACATACAGTCCTCGGCGACAGGACGAAGCAAACACATCACATGTCCATCGACACATCGACATCTGCCTGCCGCAATGCCCAACGCGGCCTTCCGAAGTAATCCGCCGATCCGGCGTGCGAGTTTCAAAGAGCCTAGGCTACAGCCTTAGCCGAGCGCGCTCCACTACTCGCAGAATGACTACTAGAAAATGGCCTGGAACCCCGCGGATAATCTGCGATAAATTACATCAAAGCAAACACGTTGTTTTTCTGACGTATGCGAGTAGGCACTTTGCGAGTAGTGGAACGCGCTCGGTGAAGCCTACAGCCTGAGCTGCAGCTCTGCTGGGGGAGGGGGCCGGGGTGGCTCTGCTGGGGAAGGGGAGGGAGGGAAGGCCCTGCTGCGACGCTGCCCCGTTGTCCGGGCGGGGCGGGCACACGCAAAAATCCGCCGGATTTCCACCCCGGAGGGCAGAGAGCCCAAGATGGCCGCCAGATACTTCCCAGACGGCTCAAGATGCACCCAAAATGGCGCAGGATGCCCTCCCAAAAATCCCAGAAAGGGGCCCAAATCAGCGATCCCACCAGCCCTCTGGGCGTAGGTGGTCTAGGGAGGTTCCTCTTCCAACCCCCTTCTTCCCCCTCGGGGAAAGGTTTACCCCTCCCCCTTCCCGCCTCCCCTGGACCTGGACGGGGCGCCCCGCGAGGTGCCAGAGGGCACTCGTTCGCACAAGATGGTTCCAAAAGGGCCTCAGAGAGCCCAAAATGACCTCCAAGATAGCCCAAGATGCCTCAAGTCGGCTCCCAAGATGCTCCAAGAGGCCCCAATAACGCTCCAAGACGGCTCCAAGACGCCTCCGAAAACTCCCAGGAGGCCTCCAAGAAGCCAAAATCCTTCCAACATCTAAAAGAAATCTACGTGTGTTGCTTTCTCGCCTTTTCGCTTCCGGTGGCCGTCCGAGACCTCACGATGGCTCCAAGAGGGCCCGAGAGGGCCCCAAGAGGGGCCCAAGACGGGCCCAGGAGTGTCCACGACCGCCCCAACAGCACCCGAAGAAGGGCCCAAGAGGCGATTTTAGGCACTCTAGAATGGCGAAGCCAATTGGGGCTCCCGTCTGTTTGTATCGATCTCCTCCAAGATGGCCCGAAGAGCGCTCCCAAGGCACCCAAGAGCACCCCAAGAGGGCCCCAAGAGGCGCCCAGGAGGCCCCAAGAGGCGCCCGAAGGGCCTCTAAGAGGCTCCCCAGAGATCCCCACGATGTCTCAAGAGGACCCCCGAAGCATCCAAGACGTTGAAACAGGCCCCCTAGGCGCCTGGCATGGCATCGTCTCTGGATGAGCTGGTGGGGTTACTGTTTTGTTCACCGACCGCTAGCGGAGGACGGCCGCGCGGCGTCAGTGCGTCGATCGAAAGCCAGACCTACGTGGAACAGGGCAGAAAGCTGGCGGGCGTGCGCGAAGCGTCAAAAATTGTTCTATCTGATCTTGAATGATTTGGGCGATTCGCTCTTCTCGGCCTTCCGACGGTGCCAGAGGCCCCCAGGATCGCCCCAGGGGCCCCCAAGATGGCCTTGTATGATGGCCCACGAGGCTCCCAAGACGGCCCCACAAAGGGTCCCCAGACGGCTCCATTTAGGGAAACGGACTCTATACACCAACGCTTTTCCCGACCCTGCGATGAAATTCGCACAAGAACGCGAATTCTGGTGTATACGGGATCCTGGTGTATACATGTTTTGTCGTTTTCCCGCGACATCGGGGAAAAAAGCAGACCTCACACCACCCCAGCGTCGTCCCCGACCCTCAAAAAGTCCTGGGATTCAAGAAACAGCCCGCCACTCGTAATGTATACGTTCCAATTTCCGACCACAGGCCTCCAGGGCTGCCAAGACAGCCCGGACCCAAGACGGCCCCGAAGCGCCACCGGAATGTGCTCCCGGACGGCACAGCGCGAGGCGCCCAGGGCGGCCTGCGACGGCGCCCGACGGGCCAGGGAACGCCCTAAGACAGCCAAAAAAGGCTTCCAAGAATCCCCCAAGAGGCAACAAACACACACACACACAAAAAAAAAAAAAAAAAAAAAAAAAAAAAAAAAAAAACGCAGAAGGCCTCCTCCTACGACGGCCCAAAGAGGGCCCCAAGGCGGCCGCCCCACAGGCCTCCAAGCGAACCCGAGCGCCATCGGCAGCGCCCCGGATCGGCGGCACTGGCCGCAGGCCACTACAATATTGAAGCCCGTCTCAATAATGGCGTTCTTCAGCCTGAAGCACGGTGGAGGCAGTGTGTCCATGGCAAGCTTGGGCAGCATGACTGCCGCGCGCAGCAACGGGGCGTTTGCTGCCTCTGATTGGACATCCAACCGCGCCTGCGCGGAAACCCCAGTGCGCCGAACCGGTTTTAGCCAAGGTGCGAAACATTCTCTCTACATGCCTGTCTGGATGCACTGATGGTATGCTCCGAGCGCGCGACGGATAGCGCCCCCCACCCACTGGTGTCCAGGAAGTGCCCCGCCTGCCACGCTCTGCGAGCGCACGAGGGATAGCGCCCCCACCCCCTGCGCACCCCCTTCTGGTGTCCAGGCAATGCCACGCCTGCCACGCTCTGCGAGCGTACGACGGATAGCGCCGTGTCCAGGACGTGTTGCGCCTGCCACGCTTGGCGAGCGCACGGCGGATAGCGCCCCCAGCCCCTGCGCACCCCCTCTGGTGTGGCATGCCACGCCCAGCAAATTGTGCGCGTATGTGTCAAGAGGCCTGCGAATCCTACGCGTACTTGTTGTGTGGTGTGCGTGCCATGTGAGTGACAAGATCTGCACCTGCGTTCTGTGTATATGCATGATGTGCGGCACTCACTTCGAGGGCGCGTGGCAGTGCGGCGGCAGCACGGTGAAGCAGCTGATGGGAGCAAAGGTGGACAAGTGCGGTGGTCAACCTCGGGCTCCAGGTGCAGGTCGTTACGGGGTCCGTCCGGGGCCCGTTTACCTGGAGCATAGCGCGGGGCTCACTGGCGACAACGTCGAGCTGCTGGCGGACATGGCGAATGGCTTGAAAGCAGGGAGGATGCCATGGATCGCTGGAGGCGACTGGAACATGGACCCGAGCTGCCTGCAGGAGTGGGCCAAGCAAGCAGGAGGCGCACTTGTCACGAGCGGGGCTGCGACGATGGGGGGTGGAGGAGTTCGACTACTTCTCGGTGTCGCTCGAGCTGGCCAGCCTGGTGAAGGGGGGGCGGAGGTAGCGAGGGGTGTGGCATGCAGACCTCACAGCCCAGTCAGGCGCAGGCTTGAGGGGATAGGCAGGCGCGCGCAGGTGAGGGCCTTCCAGGAGCCGCGGAGGATGCCGCTGGAGCTGCCCCCGCGAGCGCAGGCGCCACCGGTGGCGCGGCAGGCCTGGTGCGCCACAACCGACGCCGAGGAGGCCTGCAGGGAGTGGCCCACGGCATTGGAGGACCACGCGCACGAGCTGCACCAGCTCGGCCAGGCGAGGCGCAGGAGAGCGCCAGGCCCGAAGCTGGAGATTTTGAGGACCTTGGAAAGAAAGTGGCGCAGGAGCTTGCGCAGGGGGGGGCCAGCCCCAGGGCCAACGGCCGGGAAGGGCGCGCGGCGGCGAGCGCCACGCCGACGAGCAGGAGGGGCGCGAAGAGAACGCCAGAGGAGGAGGAGGAGGAGGAGGAGGAGGAGGAGGAGGAGGAGGAGGCGCAGGCACGAGCGGAGCTGCGGGCGCTGGAGGATGATGACGAGGCGCCGTGGCCAGTCTCGGGGGGTGCTGGCAGGAGGAGCTGAGATCTTCACGGCGTGTCTGGGCGGCAGAGGCGAGGCCGAGGAGCAGGCGGGCGCCGTGCAGGAGGAGGCGGACGGGCAACGGAGGGAGAGCGTGGACAAGGACGGCGGGGAGGCTGCGGCGAGCTGGAGGGCATGGGCCCCGGAGGCGTCGCAGGAAGCAGGAGGCTCAGCGGCCTACAGGTACTACATTGAAGCAGGTGCAGGATGGCATGGACGGGGACAACCATTGCATCGAGGGAGACACAGCGGCAGGCGATGAGGCGATGCAGGTGGTGCTGCAGGCGCGGATACCGCTGTGGCTCAAGGAGCCCAGAAGGGCGACAGCCATCCATGCGAGTGGGCGCGCGGCCAGCGGCTCGAGCCCATCATAGGCCAGCAGGTGAGCGACCTGAAGTAGTATCGTCCGGGTGCAGGGCTCGGATGGGACTGCCTGCATCCGAGGGTGCTCCTGCAGATACCGACAGAGTACGTGGATCGTTTGACAGAGATCCTCAACATGTGGGAGGCGGAGGCAAAGCCTCTGGACCTCTAGAGGGCAGCTACCAAGGAAGCAGTGGCCCACGGAGAGACTAGAATGCGTGCGCTCCAGCCGCCAGATCCGCAGCGATAGTCGGCAAGCAGCAAGAGTCTCACTTTGTCTGCTCGCCTTGACTCGGCGTCCTTGTGCCACGTCCGAGAGTTATACCGCGATAGTGGGTGGCATAGCAGCAAGCCCACCGAGTGCACCGCTGCAGGATTACCTACAGCGCAGTCAGTCAATCAGTCAGTCAGTCAGTCAGTCAGTCACAGTCAGTCAGTCAGTCAGTCAGTCAGTCAGTCAGTCAGTCAGTCAGTCAGTCAGTCAGTCAGTCAGTCAGTCAGTCATCATCATCGTCCTGATCCTCCTCCTCCTCCTCCTCCTCCTCCTCCTCCTCCTCCTCCTGATTCTCATCTCGCTCCTGCTCCCGCTGCTCATCCTTCTCATCATGGTCCCTGCAGCAACCAAGCAACCCAGGGCACCATCGTCATCGGTCCCCTATTCTGGGGTGTGGCGGCATGGTGGTCGCCTCTATGATCAAAGTGCCGCAACGAAATCTGCACCAGCGCGATCGAAGCACGCTCAAGGAACATGTGATCTCTGTCAAAGCTAAGCCAAACACCGTTTGCGAACAGCAGCACGACAAGTATTGGAGTTTTCTTCGATAAAGCCTTCAACAGCTCGATCACGGCCTTTACACCGAGGTCGAAGACATCGGTAGTTTTTCCGTTGCCTGCGCGGGTCATGACGCGGATGGGATCAGCGTCCGTACAAACCCTCCCTCTCTCCTCCCCTCCTCTCCCCTCTGCCCCCTTCCCTCCCCTCCTCTCTCCTCGACCATGCATCCAACCTACACCATTCGTGAACATGACACTGTGTATGTGCCCACAACACAGTCCGACAGCCCAGCCGAGCGGGACTCCATTCCAGTGGAAAAGTTGTTCGTCCCCGATCGTTGTTCGAAGGACCCAGCCCAGAAACGGCCCCTGAACAAAAACTTCGCATTGTTTCTGGTACTGCGTTGGAGGCCTAGGTTCGGAAGTCAAAACTCAACCTCGCGACCTGTCTAGGGGTGCGCTCTGATCATAACTTCAAAAAGAACCCAGCCGTGGCGACGAGGCCGACTCCTGGAGACCCGACAAGAGCGAAAAGCTTAAAAACGTCTACCACCCTCGAGCCTCGAACCTCGACGCTGGAGGTCTGGGAACAATGCCGAAGAACAGCGGCTCTCACCAGCTCCGCTTGGTACGGCATGTGCGACAGACCCGCCCCTCTCCAGGATGCTGTCTAAGGACCTCTGCTCGGCTCGCTTCCCTTGGGGGGTGGTTAGCGAATCGGTTCATGTAGCTGCTTTTCCCAGCGCGAGAGGCGCCAGTGTATCGAGGAACGCCCCCTTCAGCAGGGCAGAGGGGCCGAAACCAGCTGCATGCAGCAGATTTCGCGCCCCCCCCTTTCCCAATTCCTCCCGTTTCGTCTAGCCGAGCCTTGAGGCTGGCTTCTACAGAGCGACGCGCTTCGCCACTGAAGCGGTCGCCGCCACAGCCATCGTCGTCGCCGTCGTGGTCGTCGTCGTCGTCGTCGTCGGCGACGTCGTTCTCGTCATCCTCCTCATCCTCCTCTGCGAGGGTATGTAAGGACCAGGAGAAGGGCGGGCCCAGACCCCCAACGGATTGATGCTTGCAGTCCACGGGCCCCAGAGGTCACAATTACTACCTGACTACCTACCACACCACCCCAACCCAACCCGAAGACCCGAATGTGACCCGAACTTCGGGTTGGGGGGGGGTACGGGTTCCATGTGTTTTTCCCATGTTCCCCCCCGACCCCCCCCCCCACTGGAAATGGAGGGCAGATTGAGGCCTTCGCGTTGGGGTGATTTGGTGGGTGGTGGCTACCGCAGGAGCAGTCTTTCGTATGGGGCCCACATGCTTTTGCTTGTGCTGGGGCCCGACAGCGGCCCCCGGAGGCCGAAGACGTCGATGCGCAGGAGGTCTGAGCGTGCAGGCGTGAGGCGGGTCGATCCGTCGACCGCCCTCGACCCCCCTCGAGGAGGGCGATCGAGGAGGGCGATCCGTCGACCGCCCTCGACCGCCATCGATCCGTCGACCGCCCGTGACCCTTCCTCCTCGAGGAGGGGGATCGAGGAGGGGGGTCGATCCTCCACGGATCAAGCCCCGGCACCGCTCCCGCGACACGCGACAGCCCGCGCGGCTGTCCTCCTGAAGCCCCACCGCCTGCCTTCACGGACTTCCTCTGGGACGCGCGGAGACACACCAGTACTACATGCCCACCGTGGTGGCGCGCGTCCGACCCGAACATGTAGTGCACCCATCTTGCAGTAGATCGTCTCCCGAGCGGTGTGGCCAGAAAGCGCCCGCCACGACGCACATACTATAAGATTTCTCGGTGCGCGCGTCGCCCCTGGGGGGCGACGCACATATAGTATACGTATGTTGGGGTGACGCCGACTCCTCGGGGAGCTGCGAGAAGCAGCATGGGGACAGTACAGGCTCGGGAAACGTCGTCACAAGGAGGCTCGAGGCAGGAACGCGTGACACTCAAAATCCTCGCCCTCGGTCGAGCGTCACCCTCGCGCGTCGTAAACAGCAGCGAGTGCGCCCGGTATCCCGGCCGTCGGCGCGATGCGCGACCAGCTTGGCAGGGCGCGGCGGTGGCTGCGTCTCAAGCTCGGGGAGTGACGACTTCGCGTTGTTGTGCCCCCATTTGATCTCCCGCTGTGCCCGCCCTCACCGTCGCCGCCTGTCTCGAGCGAGTGCTTTTAGCATCAGGACGCAGGTCAGAGGAGGGAGCGTTCACACGTCTTGCTGATCGGCGGGGGGGGGGCTTTCAAGACGCGTTGGCATTGGCGTATCCCCTCTCTCTTCCCCTACTGTCCCCTCCCCTCCCTTCCCATCCCTTCCCCTCATCTTCTCTACCATTCCCATCCCCTTCCCCTCCTCACTGTCCTTCCCCCCCATCCCCCCTCCCATCCCCTGCCCCTCCCCCGCCTCACCCTTTCCTGGCATCTCCCTGCCTCTCCCTCCTCTTCCACCCCCCCGCCCTGCTTCTCCTCCACTCCCCCCCCCCCCTTTCACTGCCAGCCTCCCCCTCCTCCCCGCCTCATTCTCCCTCCCCGCCTGCCTGCTTCTCCCTCCTCCCCTCCCCTCCCCTCCCCTCACCCCTCCCCTCCCCTCCTCCCTCAGTCCTCCCTGCCCCTCTCCCCTCCCTGCCCCTCCTCTCTCCCCCCCCCCCCCACCCTCCCCTCCTCGCCCCCCGGGGGGGCACCGCCGCGGAGGGCGCCTGGCATGGTGCTGGCCTTGCTATTCAGGAGCTCCTGCAGCACCACGAGGCTGCTGGCGACCTTCTCGGGGATCACCTCGGGGGGGGGAAGGCGCCACCCCGAAGAGGACAGGCGACGACGTGACGACGTGACGAAGACGACGACGACGACGACGACGACGACGACGACGACGACGACGTGACGTGACGTGACGTGACGTGCTGTGCTGTGCTGTGCTGTGCTGTGACGTGATGTGATGTGCTGTGGCGTGGCGTGGCGTGACGTGACGTGACGAAACGGCGTAACGACGTGACGACAAGACGACGAGGACGATGAGGACGATGAGCACGATGAGGAGGAGGATGAGCACGATGAGGACGACGAGGGGGCGGAGGAAGAGAGATGGCCGCACTAAGCAAAACAATGTCATGTACGACAATGAGGGCACAAGAGAAGAAAGGGCGATAGTAAGAAAAGACGAGATGAGGAAAAGACGAGAAGAGGAAAATGAGCACCTCGATCCTCGAGAAATTCGATGGGAGTCCAGCCGTGGCAACGAGGGCGCCCCAGGGATACTCAAAAAGCTTCCAACAGCCTTGCGCTTCGGTCCTAGAACTTCTGTCGGAGGACGCCAGCTACCCACACAGGTCCCGTCCAGGCGGACCCTGAGCCCAGGATCGCTGCATATGCCTCCCAGGCCAGGCAAGCAAGACGTACACCCCGATCCAGGGGCCAGGATGGGCCTGGCAAGGATCGGTGCAGGAGTACAGTCGGTGCCCTCCCACTCTAGGAGCAGGGCCCTGGGGCTTCCCCCCCCCCCCCGCGACTGGCTGTTCATGCCGAGACGTTCCTGGACAGCCGCGGGGCCCGGGAAGGGCCCCCCATCGAGCCTTCGAGCTGCGAGAGGCCAAAGCACGGGACCGTACTGCCCTCCAGGACCCTTCGGCACGGCGAGGAGGGCGGGGAGGGCCCCCCTCGAGCCCTCGAACGGCGAAGAGCCTCCGGGACCCCTTCCCTCCAGGACTCCGCCTCCTCCTCCTCCTCCTCCTCCTCCTCCTCCTCCTCCTCCTCCTCCGCCTCCTCCTCCTCCCCCTCCTCCTCCTTCCCCCCCTCCTCCCCCTCCTCCCCCTCCTGGACCCCTCCCTCTTCCCGGCGAGGGCGGGCTCGCGGCGCCTTCGCCAGCGCCTGCGCGTCGTCGTCCGGGACGGAGCGGTCGAGGTGCCGGAACACGGCCAGCGTGCTGCGCAGCAGCTCCCGCACGATGCGCGTCACCTGCCCCCCCCCCCCCTCTCTTTGACGCGGGGCGGGGGGGCGCCCACGGCGGTGCGAGCGGAGAGGGCGGGGAGGAGGAGGAGGAGGGGAGGAGGAGGGAGGAGGAGGAGAAGAGGAGGAGGAGGAGGAGGAGGAGGAGGAGGAGGAGGAGGAGGAGGAGGAGGAGGAGGAGGAGGAGGAGGAGGAGGAGGAGGAGGGGGGGGGCGAGGCTTTGGGGCGCTCTCGAAACGCTCCCTCTCTTAGCTGCCCTGATACGCAACACGCGACACGTGGCGTGTTGATACGGAGCTCAACACGTGGACTGAAGACGTAGGTCCGACGCGATACGTGCGCCAGAACGTGGGCCAATGCGTGGAGCCAACACGCAACGTATTGACACGGACGTCTTGAACACGGGACGTGTTGCGTTTCAAAACGGGCGTATCGAGGCAACTAAGCTCCCTCTGCAACCCTGAGATCAAACGTCGTAACAAAAAAAAGCCTGGCGAAGGACCCAGGCATATGCAGCTGTGAATGCCGTCGTTGCTAGTGTCGCCTCCGGTGGGTCTCCTCACAATAGGCTCGAAGCGCGTGAAGGGTGTGCCGACATGGGGCGGGGGCGCCGTGCAGGCGCCGCTACTGAGGCCTGAGGTAGAGCCCACTTTATGGGGCCACGAAACGTGCGGTGGGTGTGCCGACATGGGTGGCCGGGACGCATGCGAACTGCGCCACTGGGACCTTCGGTGGAGCTGACCATTGGGCCACGAAACGTGTGAGGGCGTGCCGAAATGAATGGCTGGGACGCATGCGAACTGCGCCACTGGGACCTTCGATGGAGCTCCCTGTGGGGCCACGAAACGTGTGAGTGGTGTGCCGAAATGAGTGTCGATGATGGTGACGTTAACGGCGATGATGATGACGATGATGGTGATGATGACGATGGTGGTGATGATGACGGCCATGATGATGATGGTGATAATGATGATGATGATGATGATGATGATGATGATGATGATGATTATGATGATGATGATGGTGATGATGGTGATGATGACGGTGATGATGGTGATGATGGTAATAATATCAATAGACTTAACAATACCAATAATATGTATGATGCCAATTATATTTATCATACGAATTTTAATAGTACTAAGATTCATACTCATGGTACTAATACTAATTAGCATTAGAAAATATGACAATACGAATGATGAGAATAATAATGATGATGCTAATAATAATAATTACAATCATAATAATAATGATGATAATGATAACGATGATGATGACGACGACGATGATGGTGATGATGACGATGATGCTGCTGGTGATAATGACGATGATGACGATGGTGATGATGGTGATGATGATGATGATGATGATGGTGATGATGGTGATGATGACAACGATGACGACGACGATGATGATGATGGTGATGGTGATAATGATGGTGATGAAGGTGATGCTGCTGACGATGATGATGACACTAATGATGATGATGATGATGATGATGATGATGATGATGATGATGATGATGATGATGATGATGATGATGATGTTGATGATGCTGATGATGTTGATGATGACGATGATGATGGAGATGAGGATGAGAGGAGGAGGGGGAGGGCGGGAGGAGGTGACGCGGGGCGCCCCTCAAAACGAGGACCCAACACCACAGGATGGCTGGGACCAAAAAACAGGAAGAAGAAAACAGATTACAAAAAAAACATCGCGACAAAATCACGATCGGAGCCCTCGACCCCGCCTTTCTGCGCCACTGTTTCGAGCCGGATCGATCTGTGATGGTCCTGGGGCCCGAAACAATGCGAAAACTCCCGGCGCGAAAAAATTGCAGCGGCAACGCCTGGATCGCAGGGTGGACCCTTCCTGGATGCCCTTGAAGGCCCCCAGAGGCCCTCTGGAGGAGCGCAGGGTGCGGAGCAAGACCTCCTCGTCCTTCTCGTCGGTTCTGCTCTTGCCTCTTTCCCCCCTTTCCCTCTCCCTCCCTGCTTCCCCTTCTCACTCCTCTCTTCTCGGGGGCGGCCAAGAGGGGGGTGTCCAAGAGGGGGGGGTGCAAATATCATGGCCAGCGGCATATGCGCGGCCCAGGGGGGGGGGGGGGGGGTGGGCCGGGAGCGTAATGAAACGAGAGAGGGGGCGCCGGGAAACCTGGGGAGATGTCAGGGGCCCCGCCATGATATCCACCCCCCCCTGGTCATCACCCCCCTCTTTGCCGCCCCCGATCTCCTTGCGTGCTGCTGCCGTCGCGGTCGCCCGCTGCGGGCGGCGGCGGTCGGCGGGGCCCAGGCCCGGGGCGCAGAGGCGGGCTATCTCGTTGGGGCGCCCCTGGGCCCCTCAGGCGGCGGCCTCCACGGAGGCCTCCGTGGAGACCTCTGCAGAGGCTTCTGCAGAGGCCCTCTCGGGGACTCTTGTTATCATATCCTCCTCCTCCTCCTCCTCCACCTCCTCCTCCACTCCTCCTCCACTCCTCCCTCCGCCTCCCACCTCCTCCTCCTCTCCTCCCCTCCTCCTCCTCCTCCTCCTCCCTCCTCCTCCTCCTCCTCCTCCTCCTCCTCCTCCTCCTCCTCCGCCTCCTCCTCCTCTCCTCCTCCTCCTCCTCCTCCTCCTCCTCCTCCTCCTCCCCTCCTCCTCTCCTCCTCCTCCTCCTCCTCCTCCTCCTCCTCCTCCTGCCTCCTCCTCCTCCTCCTCCCCCTCCTCCTCCTCCTCCTCCCCTCCTCCTCCACCTCCTCCTCCTCCTCTCCACCTCCTCCTCCTCGCCACCTCCTCCTCCTATCCTCCTCCTCCTCCTCCTCCTCCTCCCCTCCTCCACTCCTCCTCCTCCGCCTCTCCTCCTCCTCCTCCTCCTCCTCCTCCTCCCCTCCTCCTCCTCCTCCTCCTCTCCTCCTCCTCCTCCTCCTCCTCCCTCCTCCTCCTCCTCCTCCTCCTCCTCCTCCTCCTCCTCCTCCTCCTCCTCCTCCTCACCCTCCTCCTCCTCCTCCTCCCCTTCGCTCCTCCTCTCCTCCCTCCTCCTCCTCACCTCCTCCTCCTCCTCCTCCTCCTCCTCCTCCCCTCCTCCTCCTCCCCCTCCGCCGCCTCCTCCTCCTCCTCCTCTCCTCCTCCTCCTCCTACCCTCCTCCTCCTCCTCCTCCTCCTCCTCCTCCTCCACCTCCTCCTCCCTCCTCCTCATCCTCCTCCTCCTCCTCCGCCTCCTCCTCCTCCTCCTCCTCCGCCTCCTCCTCCTCCTCCTCCTCCTCCTCCCCCACCCCAACCCAGCCCGGGTTGGGGGGGGCATACAGTCGGCCTTGATTGGGCAGGGCACGCGAGAGGACACAGGACCCTTCCGAGGGCCACCTCGCCACAGGAGTGCAAGAGGGCACGCGTCGCAGGGCACAGGGCACGAGGGTACCCTTGAGCTGGCAGGGTCGACCTACTAATCCGGGCCGACTGTATCGTCAGAGCAATAACTCCTGCGCGCAGCCGACGCGCGACGGAAGGGCCCGAGGGGCCGAACGAGAGCGAAGGACGGGCCCAGGAACCACAGACAGCGAGCGGAGGGGCACGACCGGATCGGGGAGGGGGGCGGAGACCCCTCGGGGGGAACACAAGGGGGGGACAGCAAAGGGCAGGGTAGAGAATAGGGGAACAAAAAGTAAAATTCGCCGGCCCACCGGGCCAGAGGCGTGCTAAGATCTCCGGTAACTACTTAACAATACTTCTAGTTCGCGCGCGCGGGGCGGCCCCTGGGGGGCCCCGGACGAAAAGTACCCCGGCCGATCCCCGGCTGACCCCCGGGCGATCCCCAGGGGGGAGGCTATTTTTCGCCACCCCTCACTAGGATCGTGGCCTCCGAGGGGGGGCTGCCAACGACTACCCCCCCTCCCGCCCCAAGGGGCCCCAAGAGCCCCCCAAGAGGCCCCAGGGGAGCCCAATACGCCGCCAAGGAGCCCCAAGACGCTCCCAAGAAGCCCCCAAGAAGCCCCCAAGACGGCCCCAAGAGGCCCCAAATAGCGCTCCAGGGCCAGCGGATGAGCGAAGCGATTAAATAAACATAAAAACTCGGAAGTCCGCGCGAATTTCTCGGATCGGCGCTGGGGCCCCCCGGCGGCGCCTCCGGCGCCGCCCCTGGAGCGCTCCGCGCGCCAGGGAGGGGGGTCCAGCGCCGATCCGATAAATCCGCGCGGACATCCGAGTTTTTATGTTTATGCCACCTTTTGTTCCCCTAGAGAATCAGCTCGCGGAGCTGATTCTCCCAGCGCCTCCCGGCACCGAGAGGCGCCCGAAGCCAGCTGCACGAAGCAGATTTCGTACCCCACCCGTTCCCTGTCCCCCCTCTCGTTCGGCCCGAACCTGTGGATAAGGAGTGAAGGGTACGGAGGCCACCATCTTAGGGGGTATACGGAGACCTTCGCGGGGGAGTACGGAGGCCCTCTTGGGCGGGGTGCGGAGACCTGCCGGAGGCCTCTGGAGACCAACGGAGTGGAGGGCGGGGGGGGGACGGGGAGAGCGGGAGAGGAGGGCGGGGGAAAAGCTTGCGCTTGTACTATTGAAAAGACTGTTTCTCTCGGTGCGGACACAAAGCCACCCGCGTAAAGTGCAAAGTCCGACTCTTTCACCTTCTCCTCACGGAGACACTTGAGCCATCAGCATAGCCGCACAGAGGGTGAAACTGGAGACTTGGAAGACAGCTTGCCTTGTGCCGTCGCAGACAAGAGCAGCGCCACCGCGCACAGAAGTAACGCCCACAGGCACAATCCTCCCTCCTCCTTCCGCCTACCCACTTCCCCTGCCCCCCACGCCTTCGCACAGGCCCAATGTGGGCGCAGCCATACACGTAGATGTGCATAAAGATATGCACATGCACATGCATGCACTTGTGAACTATACACACACACACACACACACTGCTGGGCAGGCTGGGAGTTCGAGAGCTCGTATCCGCCAGGATATGGGCCCGAAAAATGGGCCCAAGAGTGTACAGATACGTGCCACCTGCCGACTCACGGAAAACCTCCAGAGGAGCGGGAAAGCCTCGGAGAGTCTCCGGAGACCTCCAAGAACCCCGAGAGACTTCTGGATACCTCGGGAACCTCCGAATACATCAGCAAGCTCCACAAAGCATCCGAACACGTCAACACCCAACAGAAATGTCCGAAAAATGTCGAAAACCTCCTAGGGCGTCCGGAAAAACCTTCTGCGCCCCCCAAGAGGTTTACCGCTCGAACTCTGGATCCGCCTCGACGTCCTCCTTGGAACGCCCAAGGAGAAGGTTGGGGGGTCGATTTGGGGGTAGAGGGGCCGATGATTTGAAGGAAAAAACGAACAACGACGACGACGACGACGACGACGACGACGACGACGACGACGACGGCGACGGCGACGGCCACGGCGACGGCGACGGCGACGGCGACGGCGACGGCGACGGCGACGGCGAAGGCGGCGGCGGCAGCGACGAAGACGACGACAACGACGACCACAACGACGACGACGATCACAACGACGACGACGACGACGACGACGACGACGACGACGACGACGACGACCACGACGACCACGACAAAGACGACGACGACCACGACGACGACGACGACGACGACGACGACGACGACGACGACGACGACGACGACGACGACGACGACGGCGGCGGCGGCGGCGGCGGCGACGACGGCGACAACGACAACGGCTCGGGGCCCCGAAACCGAGTGGTGACGGACCGCGTGGTGACCTCGGCAACCCCGACGACCTCACCGCGCGGTCCGCACGATTTGGGGACCATGGAGGCCCCAGTCGTTCGAGACGTCCTCGGAGAACTACCCGAGTCCCAAAACCGTGCCGTGATCCCAAATCCCCACTGACTCACCACGCGGAGTGGTCATGACGGGCAACGATAGGGGGGAACTGGCACAGGGGGGGCTGGCATAGGCGGGGGGAACATCGAACTGGAATCGGCGATACATCGCCGATAGATCGGCGATGGGCCCCCGATAGTGAACCCGCACCTTCCTGGGCAGGGTGGGGCTATCAGACCCCTGTCGGCGATCGGTGGGAGATTGGGGGTCGATGCATCCCCCCCTACAGTGCGGGCGGGGCCGCGAGAAACTCTCGCAAGAAACCCAACCCTGAGAACCCGTGCGCGAGGTGCACCTGAGGGGAAACCTGGAGCATCCTTAGCGCAGCAGCTCCTTCAACGGCTGCGGGAAGTCACTGCGCAGCGCGAGGAGCGAAGAAACCCAGGATACCCTGACGAAAAGCATGTGGTTTCTTGATGCGCGCCCCCACTGTGTATGCCCATCAACCCCCTCTCGTGGCCCCTGAGGTCATGAGGACACCACACCGTCTGGGCCCCCCCCCCGAAGCTCGCGGCGGCTCGCAGCGGCCCGCGGCGGCCCGGCCGGGGCGCGCGGCCTCCCCGGGCCGCGGGCCCATGGTGCCGAAGACGGGCATCATGTTGAACTGCCTGCAGGCGCGCCGCGCCGGCGCCGGCGCCAGCGCGGGCGCCGGCGCCGAGAGGAGGGGGAGGGGGTTGGGGAGGGATCGAGCGTCCGAGGGGAGGGGAGGGAGCAGGGAGAGAGACGAGCGCCTCAGGGAGACGAGCGTCCGACTCCGATGGATCGAGCGTCCGAGGGATCGAGGGTGCGAGGCATCGAGGGCCCGAGAGGACGGAGGAGGAGGGAGGGAGCAGAGAGGTTGACGATTGCGACGGGCGGCCTCGCGAGATGCGCGGCCGTGTCAGTGCGGCTGGGAGGGACAGAAGAGGGAGGGAGGGAGGGAGCGAGGAGGGAGGGAGGAGGGCAGACAGACGGGCGAGGGTGGAGGAGGGGAGGAGGGAGGGGGAGGAGGGAGAGGAGGGAGGAGAAAGGGGAGGAGGGGGAGGAGGCGGAGGAAGAGGAGAGCAAGGGCCTTTTAAAGGTGGTGGAGAAGGGAAGGGATGGCAACGAGGAAGACGGAGAGGAGGACAACGAAGAGGAGGAGGAGGAGGAGGAAGAGGAGGGGGGTAGGAGGAGACGAAGAGGAGTAGGAGGAGAGGCAGAGCGTAGAAAGACGGAGAGGAGAACAATACAGGAAAGGTGGAGACTGAGTAGGTAGGTAGAGAGGTAGAGAAGTAAGGAGGCAGGGATGAGGTGTGAGGGGAGCAGGGGAGGAGAGAGGAGGAAGGAGGCAGGGAGGAGGAGAAAGGGAGAGGGAGGGGGGGAGGGGAAGGGGGAGGGGGAGGGGGAGGGGGAGAGAGGAGGAGAGGAGGAGGAGGAGGAGGAGGAGGAGGGAGAGAGGAGAGGAGGAGGAGGGAGGAGAGGAGGAGGAGGAGCAGGAGGAGGAGGAGGAGGAGGAGGCCGTGTGCGGGAAGCTCGTATCCGCCGCGTGCCGAAGACGGCCTCGGCCCGCTGGCCGGGGCCACGGCCAGAGGGCGCCAGCAGGCACACGGTCCTCGGGCGCACCAGGAAGATCAGCGTGAGGATCCGCCGACCCCTTGGGGATCATCGGCGTGTGAGATGCTTCCCCCTCCCCACACCCAGACATCGGACGTCTCGAAAAAATCGAGACAAAGATTTTTCATCCGTCTGGCCCGAGCTCATCAGGGGGGTCCGGCCCTTCCCGGGCTCCTTTTGAAGGTCCACGACGGTCCTCGGGCGCACCAGGAAGATCCACGTGCAGATCATCGAGGTCTACGGTTGTGGATGCCACGACAATGGACACTCTAACAATCCGATCATTGAATAAAAGACGTGTTTAAAATGTGTACACCATGCTCTTAACATGTTTCAAACATGTTTTACATGTTTAAAACATGTTTAACACATGTTTTACACATCTGGAAATTGTTTGGCAGCATGCTTCCTCTCCATTAACCGACTTCCGCAAATCTACGGCTGGATCATCAAGATCTACTCCGATTTCCTCAATAAGCGTCGGGGGGGCGTAACCCCCGCCGACAGCCCCGCATCGACCCCCGTCGCGGGCAGCCACCGCGCGCCGAAGGCGCTCCGACCCCCGTCGCGGCGCGACGACGAGGCGAGATTGACCCCCGTCGGGGGGGTACCCTCTACGCTCACTAGGAAACCCAGAGTACGTGTGGATCAGCAGTTACGTTACGAGGATCCCCATGTTGGACACTTACCGGCAACAGTGCCGAGAATCAAAGTGAAATCTGCTCTTCGGTGTATAAGATATCACGCCAGATATGGACGTCAACCAGATCCCAGAGACATCATGATCGTTGCCACCGCTGGTCTTCAGAAGTGCGACGACAAGTACGACAACAAGTCCACTGGATACAGCAAGTACGATAGCAAAGGCGACAAGGCGGAGTACAAGTGCATCGTCGTCGAGGTCCCGGAGCGCGACCGCGAGTCCGACCAACAGTACGACCAGGACAACCTGAACGGCGTCGGCGACTGCCACCAGCACTACCAGCACTACCAGTACGACCAGTACGACCACCAGAACGTGGTCGACGACCGCTTGCGGGAGGTACCAGCAGGGCAACGAGAGCCACCAGCTGAGCTACGAGTGCCACCAGCTGGGCCGCGAGGGCCGCTGCCTGAGCTGCGAGGGCCACACGCAGACCTTCGGGAGCTACTCGCAGGGCCACAGGCACTGCTGCCAGACCCGCCAGCTGAGCTACGAGGGCCACACGCGGATCTACGAGGACCGCGTCTTGACGTACGAGGACCCTCGCCTCCCCCCTGCCGCCACGGGCGCCTCGACGAGGTCAAGCCAGGCATTCGCCCTGGCAACAATATTCTGACGGGCACCCCCCCACGCGGCGGCACTCCGCACCCATCCCTGCGGGCCACGCCGCCAAGGATCCCTCCCCATCGTCGCCACGGCTGGTCTCGACCGAACTACGCGGGCCACCTGCTGAGCTTCAAGGGCCTCGATGATCCACACGTAGATCCACCCGTAGACCTTGATGATCCACACGTAGACCTCGATGATCCACACGTCGACCTCGATGGTCCACATGTAGACACTCGATGATCCACCCGTAGACCCCGATGATCCACCCGTAGACCTCGATGATCCACCCGTAGACCTCGATGATCCACCCGTCGGAGCTACGACGGCAAGAGGAGGAGCTCAGAGGCCCACCAGCTCAGCTTCAGGGGCCACTCGCGGAGCACCGCGAGACGCGCGCGGAGTTGGGAGGGCCGCGCTGCCAGGGCCGCGCGCAGGAGCTGCGAGGGCCACGGGCAGGCCTGCGAGGACCACCCGCCGAGCTGCCAGGACGACAAGCCGAGGAGGAGGAGGAGGAGGAGGAGGAGGAGGAGGAGGAGGAGGAGGAGGAGGCGCAGGAGGATGAGGAGGAGGCGGAGGAGGAGGAGGAGGGCGGAGGAGAGGAGGAGGCGGAGGAGAGGAGGAGGAGGAGGACGGGAGAGAGAGGGAGGAGGAGGAGGAAGGAAGGATGAGAGGAGGAGGAGCAGGAGGAGGAGGAGGAGGAGGAGGAGTGGAAGGAGGAGGAGAGGAGGAGGAGGATGAGAGAGAGGAGGCGGAGGAGGAGGAGAGAGGAGGAGGAGGAGGGAGGAGGGAGGAGGAGGAGGAGAGAGAGTGAGGAGGAGGAAAGAGGGAGGAGGAGGAGGAGGAGGAGGAGGAGGATTACCCAAGGATTACCCCAAGCAGACGCAGTCGCAAACGCCTCTGGAAAGGGGCGGAGGAGTAAAAGGAGCAGCTGGAAGCGGCACAGGAGGGAGGCCTGGAGGGCTGGGTGGTCCAGAAGGCAGAGGAGGCCAGGTCGGCTGAGGAGACCAGGAGGACTGCGAGGAATCGGGGAGACGTAAGACTCGGGTACGGGGGACTCGGGTTGGCCTGACAGGGCCATCATAAAAAGTGGCGAGACCCAATCTGAAATTTGACGCGAACTCCCGCTGCAAACATCCGACAAAAACCAGACCGTCAAAATCCAGGACGCGCTCGTCGAAGAACGTCGGCAAAACCGAATTCTAGCTTTCTCGAGCAATACGTTTCCCCGAAGGAAGAAGGAGGAGGCTTGGAGGACCGTAGAGGCCGACCAGACAGGCAGAGACCAAGGAAGCAGACGAGGCCAGGAAGGCACGGGAGGTACAGAAGGCCGAGGAGGACACCCACGGGGTGCGGTCGCAACCGACGACGCCGGCGCCCTGGCTCGCTCGGCTACACCTCGAGCCTTCCGTACGGCCAGGCAGGCTGCACAGGGGCTGGTGCGCCGAGTGCGCCTGCGAGGACGCTGCGCGTGCCCAGCAGAAGTGCCTCGTCGCGCTGCTGGTCGCGGACTTGCGGGCTCAGGGGAAGAGGGGGGAGGAGGAGGCAGCCGAGGACAAGGAGGAGAAAGGCGAAGCGGGAGACGGAGGGGAGGGCGAGCGGAGGAGGGAGGACAGAAAAAAGGGCTGCACAGGAGAGGGCCGCAGATGCCGCGGCTGCGCGGCAACGCGGGCCCTGGCACGCGAGAGAGGGAGGAGAGGGCCGCCGAGGTGGGCGGGGAGCCCATTCCCCCTGCGGGCGCCTCAACTCGAAGTTCGGGTGTTGCCAGAAGTGCCCCTGGCCCAAGGCGCCCCCAGCTTTTCGCCCTGTTTTGGAGCCCCTGGGGCCCTCTAGGCCTCGTGAGGGGTGCCATGGAGGCCGCCTGGGCCACCCCGAGCATCCTGGGGGCGCCTTTGGCCAGAGGTGCTTCTAGCAACACCCGAGAAGCAGACCCGGGCAGCAGCCCCCCCGGAAAAAAGAGACGGGTACCACCCCCTCACGGCGGCACCCCACCCCTGACCCTTCAGGCTGCGTCGCGGAGGAGCCCCCCGTCATCGCCACGGCCGGACTCGCCGTCGTCGCCACGGGTCGGAGTCGACCCCCGTCCCACCCCAAAGCTGCTGGTCACCAGCAGGGCTACCAGGGCCACCAACAAGCTGAGCTGCGAGGACCACAGGCACAAGTACGAGAGCCACCCGGAGAACTTCAAGGCTCACCGCCCAAGCTAGGCGAGAGAGACCAGCAAATCTACGAGAGCCACAAGCTGTGCTACGAGGACCGCGAGTTGAGATGCGAGCCACAAGCAGAGCTACGAGGACCACCAGCTGAGCCACGACGGCCACCAGCTGAACTACGAAGGCGACGAGAAGAGCTACGAGGACCCCAAGGTGAGCTACCGAAACCACCAGCTGAGCTACGAGGGCCACGAGCAGAGCTTCGAGAGCCATCGGCGGAGCCGCGAGGTCGACCTGGAAAGCTACGAGGGCCACAACCTGAGCTCCGAGGGCAACGAGCAAAGCTACCACAGCAACCAGCAGAGCTACCAGGGCAACCAGCGGACCTTCGAGGACCACAAGCTGCGCTACGAGCACCACAGGCACAGCTACGAGAGCCACCGGCAGAGCTACGAGGACTGCAAGCTGAGCCACGAGGGCCACAAGCAGGGCTACGAGGGCCACTAGCTGTGCTACCTGGGCCACCAGATGAGCCACGACAGCCACCAGCAGAGCTGCGAAGACCACCAGCTGAGCCCCGTGGGCCACCAACTGAGCCACGAGTGCATCCAGCTGAGCCACGACGGCTAGCAACACAGCGACTATCTCACGATCCCAATGTAACCACGAAGCGTGCCCGTGGAGACCACGGGCCCTGATATACAACACGGATCATCCGGGGTACAGTTACATGTTTCCAACCCGGAGGCTATTACGCTACCTCCTCTACAGCGTTAACGACAGGGCACGCCCTGTACAGCGCTGCAGGCAGGGTAGCGTCACCCGCAACCGCTACGAGGTCCTACGAGCGGCCCCGCCGCTCGCTCCATCCTCCCGTCCTCCTCCTCCCTGGGCGCCAGGAGGGTATACAGGATTGACGGCCTCTCCCCCCTCCTTCCCCCCTTCGGACAGGGCCCCCACGGGTGGCGCCCGGGGGGCCGCCGCCGTCGCGCTGGTCGGCCGCCCGCCCCGCCAGAGGCCCACGGGCGCGCGAGCGCGGATGGGGGACGGCCGATGCCAGTGCGCAAGTAAGGAGGAGGAGGAGGAGGAGGAGGAGGAGGAGGAGGACGGCGACGACGCCGACGCCGACGCCGACGCCGACGCCGACGCCGACGCCGACGCCGACGCCGACGCCGACGCCGACGCCGCCGACGCCGACGCCGACGCCGACGACGACGACGACGACGACGACGACGACGACGACGACGACGACGACGACGACGACGGCGCCGACGTGACATAGGACGAGCACGTTGCAGCCGTGGTGGAGGCGCGAGCCGCCACCTTCCGCTCGGCTGTGCCATACGAGCCGAGAGGCCTCCGCTCTGCAGCTGCTAGGCTCACGGGCACCCCACTCCGCCAGCCGCCGCCCGAGGCCCAACCTGAGGATGCCCTGCCCGGCCGGAGGATGCCCGAGCATCCCCCTCAAACCTGCTCCTCCTCATCCTTCTCCTCCTCCTCCTCCTCAACCTGCTCCTCCTCATTTTCATAATCATCCTCATCACACTCATCATCATCATCACCATCACCATCACCATCACCATCACCATCACCATCATCATCATCATCATCATCATCATCATCATCATCATCATCATCATCATCATCATCATCATCATCATCATCATCATATCATCATTCGAATCCTCTCATCATCATCATCATCATCATCAACATCAGCATCATCATCATCATCCTCATCATCATCAGCATCATCAACACCATCCTAATCATAAGCACCGTCACCATCATCGTCAGCATCAACATCAGCATTATTATCACCACCACCATCACCATCAGCATGGTCATCATCGCCATTATCAGTATCGGTGTCATCGTCGTCATCATCATGATCAGTATCATCATGATCGTCGTCACGATCATCGTCACCACTACCAGTATCATCATCATCAGCATCATCATCAGCAGCAGCAGAAACAAAGCACCATCATCAACAGCAGCAGCAACAACATCATCATCATCAAAGTCGTTATCACAATTACCGCTCTTCCTTCTCCTTTTCATCCTCCTCATCCTCCTCCCACCCGTTTCTCCTTCTCCTCATCCTTACCCTCTTCGTCATCGTCATCATCATCAACAACATCACCATCGTCATCCTCATCACCAACATCGTCATCAATGTCATCGCAATCGTCATCGCCATCGCCATCATCATCATCATCATCATCATCATCGTCGTCGTCGTCGTCGTCGGCATCATCATCAACATCAGCATCCCCAGCATCAGCATCACCATCATCATCATTATCATCATCATCCGAATAACCGTCATCGCCGTCGTTTGCCTTCATCGCAATAACATCCGCATGCCAACAATCCTACAACCAGCCACATCATCGTCATCCTCATCATCAACAACAACACCCTCATCCTCAGTAGCAGTATCAGCTCCTCCTCCTCCTCCTCCTCCTCCTCCTCCTCCTCCTCCTCCTCCTCCTCCTCTTCCTCCTCCTCCCTCCTCTTCCTCCTCCTCCTACTGCTCCTCCTCCTCCTCCTCCTTTTGCCTTCACCCCTCCACTCCACGGCCGAGGCAGCCGCGTGGCGCAGTGGGTGATCATGTGCTCGGCCAGCTCCACCTTCCCGAGGCCGCTCGGGCCTACGGGGAGGGGGGGGGGGCGGGCGCGCCGCCCTCGGCGGGATCCCGCCAGTGACCCCGCGAGCGCTTGATGACCGCCGCCACCGCAGCCGCAACTGCCACCGCGCCGCCGTGGTCCGAGTCGCCTGACGGGCATGCCGGGCGAAACTTGACGGGCGTATCGGGCGGGCGGGGCACCAAAGCGGGCGAGCGGGCTGCCAACCACGCGGACGGCCAGACCCTGACGGGCCGGCCGGGCGGGGGAACCCTACAACGGGCGGGCCGGGCGGTCGGACACTCACGGGCGGGTCGGGCGGGCTGACCCTGACGGGTGGGTCGGGCGGGCGGGGTCGGGCGGGCGGGCCCCGACGGGCAGGAGGGGCATTGAAGCGAACTCCGTGAATTCTGGAAAACCCTCAAGCGAGAGCACGACTCCTGAGTGAATAGAGGGGAAGTCTCAGCGCAGCGCAGCGCCGAAGTAAATAGCAGCGCAGCGCCGAAGTACATAGCAAGGAAGTTCCGAGTGAGAGCGCGACTCCTGAAAAAATTGCAAGGAGCTCTCGAGAGAGAAAGGAATTCCTGAATAAACGTGAAGAAAAATCAGGCGGGAGCCGTTGTTGCTCTTGTTGTAGCCAGGGGGGGGCAACAACACAGTCAGAACACGAAGACTTTACTTCACAACAAGGACCGAGCCCCGGGGGGCAATTCAATTGAAATAGCAACGCGCGCTGGACAGGAAGGGATCAAATATCATCTATCTTCAGAACGAGAATACAACAACAAGAACAGCAACAGCAGCAGCAGCAACAACATTAACCACCACAACCACAACCACAACCACGCAGCAGCAGCAACAACATTAACCACCACAACCACAACCACAACCACAACCATTACAACAACAGCAGCATCACCAACTCTCATTTTAAGCCTGTTCGCTCCCATCCGCTCGCGTGCCATTCAACACGTATACCCCAAACCCTCGATACCCGCCCTCTTCAACTTCGGTCGTACACCCTGAGGGGTATATATTTCTTACCTGCAGCGTGCATTTCGTGCAACACCTAAGGCAGGGGAAGAGAGGACGGATGGAAGGAAGGGACAAGGTGAAGAGAGGAGGATGAAGCACGAGAGAGAGTAACAGGAGGGGGGCTAGGAGCAGAAAACACGTGGCAGAACCAGACGTGCAGATCGGGCGGGCAGACCCAAACAGGCGGGCCCAGCTGCGTCCTGCAGGAATCGCGAGGAAGCCTTGAGCGACAGCGCGATTCCAAAATACATCTCGTGAGGGAATCCAGGGCGAGAGCATGATCCCTGAGTGTCGAGGGCGCAGCACCTGAATCAACTGCGAGGAAGTCCCAAGCGACAGCGCGATTCCTGAGTGTCGAAAGCGCGACGCCTGAATAAGAAATTGCGAGGAAGTATCAGGCGAGAGCGCGATTCTTCTATAGATTGCGAGGAAGTCCCTAACAAGGGGCGATTCGTCAATAAATTGCAAGGAAGTATCAGGCGGGAGCCGCTGTTGTAACCCGGGGACAGGGGCTTAATTTGAGCAGGAAGACTTTCCCTGGTAAAAATGAAACGAGCCCCGGGAGGGGCACTTCAGATGAAAAAACACTTATGTTACGCGAGCGCGGAGTCCTGGATACTTCGCCAGGAAGTCTCGGGCGAGAGCGCGATTCCTAAGTAAATTATGAGGAAGTCCAAGGCGAGAGCGCGATTCCTGAATGGCAAGCCCGTGGCGCCTGAATAAATTGCGAAGTCACATGTGAAAGTGCTATTCTTTGATGAATTGAAAGGAAGTCCCTAGCAAGGGGCGATTCCTCAGTAAATTGGAAGGAAGCATCAGGCGGGAGCCGTTGTTGTTGTAGTCCGGGGGCCAGGGGCGCAGTTTGAGCAAGAAGACTTGCCCTGTTTAGAAGCAAGTTGCGAGCCCCGGGAAAGGCACTTCAATTAAAAAACACATACGTTACTGGATGGGGGTCAACAATACTTGTTCTTCAGTAATGAGAACTCAACAACAACAACAACAACAACAACAACAACAACAACAACAACAACAACAACAACAACAACAATTACTAGCACGTGGGGACACTCCGTTCTCACCAGTGCCAGGGTTTTCATAGGAGGCGGGCAATACCCCCACTTTGTGGGGGGGCCGGTTCAAGCTCTACCAAATTTCCAAACGACTCTTCGCCACCACCCACACCCAGCTTCCCGCCCTATGACGTTCGGACACTTCACTTCGTGGCATGCGGACGACCGTGGCTACTATTCAGGGCCCCGCGGCCGACGACGACGGCGTGCGCGCGCGAAGAAAAAACGAATGTGTCCCGCATGGTATTATTTGACAGGGATGATGGCCCTGGCAGGTGCGCAACCGTTGTCGCAGAAGTTCGAAAAAGTTGCTCGCAAAAGCCCGTTTGACAGAAATGTTTAAAAAGTGTTGGGTTTCCTACGAATCCGCAAGAGCGCGCGGGATGAGATTTTGACAATTTTTTTTGTTGAAAAACCATTGGTTTTTTGATGTTTTTATGTTAAAATCGCTGCGAACACTAAGGTTTTGGAAGGATTTCGTCTTGCGCGCGCGAATGTCCACTTTACCTTATTTTTTGCAAGGGATTCTTGAAATTTGATTATATTAGAACAAGAAATGTCATTTTCTATTGTTTTTTGCAAGGGAAAGCGGATTACAACAAAACAACCGGATCCTGTACACACCCTCTTTTCTGAGGCTTCCTCACGAAAATGATGAAAATGTAGCTGCGGCCTAGGCGGCGCAGGGGGGGCGCGCACCAGGGGGCCCAACAATAATTATTCTTTAGAATAAATAATGTTCAACAACAACAACAACAACAATAGCAGCAGCAGCAACAACAACAGCAGCAGCAACAACAACAACAACAACAACAACAACAACGACAACAACGACGGCAGCAGCAGCAGCAACAACAACAGCAACAACCACCACCACCACACAAACAAACAAACAAACAAACAAACAAGCAAGCAAACAAACAAACAGCAACAACTATCATAATTGTAAGACTGATTGGTCATATCTGCTCGCGTGCCATTCCATACGTATGTTACAAGCCCTCGGTAGCCGCCCTCTTCGTCGTCGACCCTGCTCCCTCTTCTGGGTATATCTTCCCTACCTGTCGCGCGTAGTTACCGCAGCACCTCAAACGGGGGAAGGAGGGGAGAAGTAAAGAGACAAGGGGGGGAGAAGGATGCAGCACGAGAGAACTCTGCAGGAGGAGGTTCAGGAGCAGGGACACGAGCGGCACAACCAGACTGGCGTGTCGGACGGGCGGACCCGAACGGGCAGGTCGGGCGGGCGGGCCCGGACAGCCAGGTCGAGCGGACGGGTCGCTGAAGCGTCAACCCATCATGAAGGAGGCTTCGAGCGACACCGCAACTCCCAGGTAAATCTCGTTGGGAGATCCGAGACGAGAGCGTGACTTTGGCGAGCCTGAGGGGGCGCGGCGCCGCACCGAAGTGCGAGGACTCTACCATGCGAGAGCGCGGTTCCTGGGGGGATCAACAGTATTTCGTGCAGCACCTAAGGAAGGGGAAAAGATGACGGATGGAAGGAAGGGACAAGGGGCAGGCGGGTTGCTGAAGCGCGCGTCCTTCATGAATCTTGAGGAAATCCACAGCGAGAGCGCGATTCCTGAGTGTCGAGGGCGCGGCATCTGAATAAATTGCAAGGGAGTCCCACGCGAGAGCGCGATTCCTGCGAAGAAGTCCTGCGCGAGAGTGCGAATTGGGAATACATTCCAAGGACGTATCAGGCGGGAGCCGTTGTTGTAAAACCGTGGGCCGGGGGCACAGTTCGGTGACACCACAATGTCTCTTGTAAAAAACAAGGTGCGAGCCCCAGGAAGCACTTCCAGGGGCCGGGGGCACAATTTGGTGACACCTCACTGTTCCTTGTGCGAGCCCTGGGAGAAGTGCTTTAATTGAAAAATACAATGGTTATCGGAGGGGGGGATCAACAACAGTTATCCTTTAGCAATGAAAACTCAACAACAGCAGCAGCAGCAACAACAACAATAATCTTAAGACTGTTCGCTCAAATCCGCTCGCGTGCCACGCATCACATATATCCCAAATCTTCGATACCCGCCCTCGTCGTCTTCGATCGTAGCCCCCCTGGGGGTATATCGCCCTTACCAGCCGCATGTATTTGGTGCAGCCCCTAAAACAAGGGAATAGAGGACGGATGGAAGGGGGAGGAAGGAGAATGGAGCACGGGATTAGCGGGAGGGGCCAGAGGAGCAGAAAACACGTGTCAGAACCAGACGGACAGATGGGGGGGTAGACCCAAACGGGCAGGTCGGGAAGGCGGGCCCAAGCGGCCAGGTCGAGCAGGCGGGTTGCTGAAGTGTGAGTCCTGTATGAATCGCGAGGAGGACTCGAACGACACCGCGACTCCCAAGGAAATCAACCGTTGGGAGATCCGAGCCGAGAGCGTGACTTTTGCGAGCTCTCGGGGGCGCGGCGCCGCACTGAAGTGCGAGGAATCCATGCGAGAGCGCGGTTCCTGGATAAAGCATGAGGATGTCCCGCGCGAGAGCGTGAAGCTGAAATTCACTGCGGGACAAAATCGAGCGGAAGCCGCTGTGGTTGTAAACCGGGGGCCACAGCCACCGTCTGTTGCCCACAGACCTCCACTGGATCAAAAAACCGGGTGCGAGCCCCGGGAGGAGCAGATTAATGGAAAGATGCAATGGTCACCGGGGGGGGATCAACAGTAAAGACTCGTGATACTTAACAACATAACAAGAACACCAACACCACCACCACCAACAACAGCAACAACAATCATGTTGAGACTGTTCGCTCCTATCCGCTCGCGTGCCATTCAACACGTATATCCCAAACCCTCGATACCCGCCTTCTTCGTTCTCGATCGTACACCCTTAGGGGTATATCGTTCTTACCTGCAACGCGTATTTCGTGCAGCCCCTAAGGAAGGGGAAAAGATGACGGATGGAAGGAAGGGACAAGGGGCAGGCGGGTTGCTGAAGCGCGCGTCCTTCATGAATCTTGAGGAAATCCACAGCGAGAGCGCGATTCCTGAGTGTCGAGGGCGCGGCATCTGATTAAATTGCGAGGGCGTCCCACGCGAGAGCGCGATTCCTGCGAAGAAGTCCCGCGCGAGAGCGCGAATTGGGAATACATTCCAAGGACGTATCAGGCGGGAGCCGTTGTTGTAAAACCGTGGGCCGGGGGCACAATTTGGTGACACCACAACGTCTCTTGTAAAAAACAAGGTGCGAGCCCCAGGAAGCACTTCCAAGGGCCGGGGGCACAATTTGGTGACACCTCACTGCTCCTGGCAAAAAACCAAGGCGCGAGCCCCGGGAGAAGCACTTGAATTGAAAAATGCAATGGTTAACGGAGAGGGGGGATCAACAATGATTATCCTTTAGCAATGAAAACTCAACAACAGCAGCAACAACAACAACAATCAGTTTAAGACTATCCGCTCGCGTGCCACGCATCAAAATCAAGGCGAGAGCGCGATTCCTGAGCTTGAAAATGGTGGGAAAAACGAGCATCAACAACAGCAACAACAAAAAATGAACAACTAACGAAAAACAAATCATCTGCGCCCCCTTCCTGTGCCCCCCCTGGCCGCCTTCGAGCACGACCATGCCGCCGTCCGCGAAAGGGCTTCCAGCCGGCGCCTCGGGCGGGGCGGCAGGGAGGCGGACGGAGGGCGCGACGCGCGACGGCAAAAGGGGCTGCTCCTCCGCCTGGCCAGCCTCCCCAACCGGGCCTTGCAGCTGTTCCGCGCCTGTTCAGCGACATGGTCGCACCTCCTCCTCCTCCCCCTCCCCCTCCTCCCCCTCCCCTCTCCCCCTCCTCCTCCTCCTCCTCCTCCTCCCTCCTCCTCATCTCCTCCTCCTCCTCCTCCTCCTCCTCCTCCTCCTCCTCCTCCTCCTCCTCCTCCCCTCCTCCCCTCCCCCTCTCCTCCTCCACCCTCCTCCTCCTCCTCCTCCTCCTCCACCTCCCTCCTCCTCCTCCACCTCCTCCTCCTCCTCCTCCTCCACCTCCTCCCTCCTCCTCCTCCTCCTCCTCCTCCTCCTCCTCCTCCTCCTCCTCCTCCTCCTCCTCCTCCTCCTCCTCCTCCTCCTCCTCCTCCACCTCCCCCTCCTCCTCCCCTCCTCTCCTCCTCCTCCTCCTCCTCCTCCTCCTCCTCCTCCTCCTCCTCCTCCTCCTCCTCCTCCTCCTCCTCCTCCTCCTCCTCCTCCTCCTCCTCCTCCTCCTCCTCCTCACCTCCTCCTCCTCCTCCTCCCTCCTCCGCCTCCTCCTCCTCCTCCTCCTCCTCCTCTCTCCTCCTCCTCCTCCTCCTCCTCCTCCTCCTCCTCCTCCTCCTCCTCCTCCCCCTCCCTCCTCCCTCCTCCCCCTCATCCTCCCCCTCCTCCTCCTCTCCTCCGCCTCCCCTCTCTCCCTCCTCCTCCTCCTCCTCCCTCTCCTCCTCCTCCTCTTCCTCCTCCTCCTCCTCCCTCCTCCTCCTCCTTCCTCCTCCTCCTCCTCCTCCTCCTCCTCCTCCTCCTCCTCTTCCTCCTCCTCCTCCTGGGTCGCAGGGAGCTCCACCGCGTCAGGCAGTTCAGTCAGAGTCGGAGACAGCATACGCGGGCGGGCCACATGAAATAAGAACCAGCGGCTCCCAGCAGTCCCGGCGCCCTGCCACCGCGGTTGGAACAAGCCCACGTCAACCACTCGCACACGGAGCACGAGAGGCCAGGCTGCTCCGTCAGACTTGACAGTCCCGTACCCCCAGGGACCCTTGGGGATCGGCCTGGCTTGAGAACTGCCGCAGAGACATGGGGCCGAGGGCTCCAGGCTCTGTTTTCTCACGTTGCAGCTGCTCTTCGAGACGTCTGATCTCAAGACGGAAGATGTTCTCCGCTTTCGGCATGCGGGTGCGCCGCGTCTGGGCTCCAGATCCGAGGGACGGCTCCAGCCCCGGCGAAGGGGACGGGACTTCGGCGGACCCAGCGCGGGAGGAATCACGACATGTGAATATCGTTCAACCGATCCCCATCCCCAGCGGCGTGGCTGGGCCCCGCTGACCGATTTGCCCCCCTGGATGGGGATATGGGTCGTTCCCTTCGGGCTTCAAGGGGCGCATCCCCAACTGGGGTGGTAATCTGGTGGGGGTCTCGAAGGGATGGGGATGGGGATGGGGATGGGGATCGGTTAAACGATACCGGACATGGGAGCTCGGGGTCCCCGCCCAGTCGCCGCTTTGAGATTGCACAAAACACATTGCACCACATAAATTGCACCACATGGGTTACACAACATAGTTTGCAGCACCTAGATTCTCCTTCTAACAGAAAAATAGAATCTACCACCCCCCTGGAATTAACGGCTTCCCTGTTCGCATTGCAAGTTACGATCCGCTTTAAATGACCATTTGCAAAAAATCAAAAGAAGTGCACACGTGCGCGTCGTCACGCGCGCATGCCGGTATCCGTCAAAAACCCGGTGTTCTGCAAGGAATTCAAAATCGACTGCATCGAAAACATACAAAAAACATAGCTTTGCAACAGGAGCTCGCTTGCTTTTATAAGAAAGAAGCTTATTGCGAACTCTTACGAAGACCATGGGTTTTTAACACCTTCATAACCTGCTACCAAGCGGGCTTCTCGCGCGCGCAGTCGGAATCGCTCGAATGCCCCTGCGCGCGTGCTGTCACAAGAACCCTTTTTCCAAAAAATGAGACAAGGTGCACACGCGCGCGTCGTGGCGCGCGCATACCGAAGTCCAATACAACAACTCAGGTGTTGTAAGGATTTCAAAATCGAATATCACTTAAACATGTAAAAACACACGGTTGCGCAGCAAGGGTTTTCCCAAAAAACTGCGCTCGCGCTCTTGCAGATTCTGAATAAAAAAGAAAAGGTTTTCAACACTTCCATAAAATGCCACCAAACGGGCCTCTCGCGCGCGTATGTCGAAATCGTTCGAACGCCGTTGCGGGAGTGTTATCGCAAAAAACCTGTTCGCAAAAATGAGACGACATGCACACGCACGCGTCGTCGCGCGCGCACGCCGGAATATTTCAAAAAGTTTCGCTCCATTATATATTTGAAAATCGAATATCCCGAAAACAAAACTGAACAAACAACAAGAAAGGTTTCGTAACGCAGCATCAGTTTTCCTACAAAAAAACAAAAATCCGTTCGCGTTCCTACCAATTCCTTTTCATATAACAAAAAAGTTTTCCTGATTACCAATACATTCGGCCAAACGGGCCCATCGGGCTGCACGTCGACATCATTCGAACGCCCTTGCGCGCGTGCTGGGAGGGCACGAACCGTGTTAAATCCGCCGACCCTGTCGGCGTGTGCGAGGGGCTTGACTGTTCGAGTCGTCGTCTCCGTCGGTCGTCGCCTCCGTCGTCCCCTTTCCCTGCAGCTTCTTTCTCAAGCTCGTGAGCGAGAGAAAAATCGAGCAGTGTCGTAATCGAGTCGAATGGAAGCCCCTTCCCTTTGATCCCTTCCCCACGGGGGGGGGGGGGGGGGTCCCGGGGGGGGTCCCGGGGGAGGTCCCGGGGGGGGTCCCGGGAGGGGTCCCGGGGGGGTCCCCGGGGGGTGGGGGGGCAGATTCGTTTTTCCTCGGCCGGCCTAGAAACCTCGAAAACACTCCAAATGAGGTCTGCATGCCCCAGATGGCCCCCGAGACGGCCCAAGAGGGCCCCGAGTCGCCCAAAGATCGACCGAAAACGCCCAAGATAGCACCAAGACCGTCCAAGAAGCCTCCAAGACGTCCCAGGCCCCCTCCAAGAGACCCCCAGGAAGCCCCAAATGGCCCCAACGAGGATTCCGAGCGACCCCTAAGAGCTTCCCAAGAGGCCCACCAACTACCCCCAAGAGGCCCCCAAGAGCGCTCGTCGTCGTCGTCGTCGTCGTCGTCGTCGTCGTCGTCGTCGTCGTCGTCGTCGTCGTCGTCGTCGTCGTCGTCGTCGTCGTCGTCGTCGTCGTCGTCGTCGTCGTCGTCGTCGCCATTCAGGGTCGGCGGCACCGGCCGTAACGCCTTCGCAATATTACCTCGCGAGCACCTCGCACGCGTCGGCCGCGCGCACAAGTCGAACTCCTTCCAAAAGACGCGAGGACGTCGTCATCGTTATCGGTGGGCGTGGTCAACATCGACGCCGCCATTGGCCTTGCCGTCGTCATCGCCGCCATCGACACCATCATCGTTACTCTCATCATCGCGTCTACCGTTGTCGGCACCGCCATGATACCGCGCCTGCCCACGTCACCGACTCGCACTGAACTGGACGGTGGGAACCGCGGCCGCGTCGGTCGCACCGCAAGAAGTGGCCGCTGCGCGCGCGAGCACGCGTGCTAGCGCGGCCGCAGGGATGCACCAGCCCAACGCCAAACACTCATCACAATCGCCGTCGCATGTAGTATACAACCCAAGTTGCCGGCGGGCGGGCAGGGTGATTGCTCGAACAGTGGAGTTGACAACTCCCTGCGTACATTAATTTTCTCTTCTAGACGAGCATTAGGGTCTACCCCTCTACCCCCCCCCCGCCCCCCCCCGTCGGAATTAACGGCCCCCTTTGGGTGATGCAATTTACATGCGATGTTGCCCCAATCACCCACCCCAGATATGAACTCATACCACCCCAGCCCAGCCGGCATCGACCCCCTCCCCGCCATCCTCTGCAAAAACATACTATGCGCGCAGATTCGCTTATCAAAAAATTACCAGCTCCAACAAAAAACACGAACCGCACACGCGCGCGCCCTCGCGCGCGCACGCCGAAATTCGTCAACAAAAAACAAAACACAACAAAACGTACGTTTCGTAAAAATGACAAGCTCGAATGCCCCGAAAAACGTATGAAAAAACAAACGGGTTTGCAACCCCAATTGTCAAAAGAATCCTGAGCCCGCGGCCCTGCGGATTCTTACGGAAATAAGCGGTGTCTTCCGACAGGTCCATCAAATTCTGCCAGACGGGCCTCTCGCGCCGCATGTCGAACTCATTCGGACGCCCTTGCGCGCGTGCTTGGGGGGGGGCACGACCCGCGTCAAGCAATACCACGCGGGCCAAATCGCGCGCGCCAGCCGCGCGCGCATGTCGAACTCGCTCCAAAAAAACATGGCGAACGCGGGGACATCGTCATCGTTATCGGCGGGCGTGATCAACATCGGCACCGCAATTAGTCTTGCCGTCGTCATCGCCACCTTCGTCTTCACCATCGCTACTTTCATAATCGCGTCTACCGTTGTCGGCGTCGCCATGATACCGTGCCCGCCCAAGTCACCGACTCGCACTGAAGGGCACGCCTGGAAATGCCCAGCGGTCAGCGCCACCGCGGCCGCGTCGGTCGCGCCAAAATAGTTGACCGCTGCGCGCGCGAGCATGCGCGCGCTAGCACGGCCGCAGAGATGATGCACCAGCCATCGCCAAGCACTCATCGCAATCGTCGCCGCATGGGCTCTAAAGCCAAGTTGCGGGTGGGCGGGTGGTATGTTTGCATGCGCATGGAATGTGTCAATTCGTTTGTAAAAAAATCAATTGCGACACGTAGGTTCCTCTTTCTACAAAATATCGGGATCCCCCCCCCCGGAATTAACGGTACGCTTTTTCGTATTGCAAAATTACGTATGAGCTTGTCCCATCGTCCATCCGAAATATGAATTCATACCATCCCAGGTAGGCCGGCGGTATCGCCCCCCTCCCCCTCATCCTCTGCGAAAAATTATCCCGACAAAGCAACCTAACAGCGATGTGTAGAAGCATATCTGAAAGCATTCCCCTTGAGATTCAGACGAAAATCCAGTTGTAGAATTCTGCTGTTCTCGCAGTCGTAGTCGCATTCGCGATGACAGTCGCAGCGGCAACGGCAGTCGCAGTCACAGCCTCAACCTCAGCCTGCCTCAGCCTCAGCCTCAGCCTGCCTCAGCCTCAGCCTGCCTCAGCCTCAGCCTCAGCCTCTCAGCCTCAGCCTCAGTCTGCCTTCAGCCTCGGCCTCAGCCTCAGCCTGCCTCAGCCTCAGCCTGCATCAGCCTCAGCCTCAGCCTCAGCCTGCCTCAGCATCAGCCTGCCTCAGCCTCAGCCTCAGCCTGCCTCAGCCTCAGCCTCAGTCTGCTTCAGCCTCAGCCTCAGTCTGCCTTCAGCCTCGGCCTCAGCCTCAGCCTGCCTCAGCCTCAGCCTGCCTCGGCCGCAGCATCAGCCTGCCTCAGCATTCAAAATGTGGCCCAGGAACGGAGTTCTGGGAACTAGAAAAACACGAAGTGGCCTACAGTTGGCTCCGGGCATTCAAAATGTTGCCCGGAATGGAGTTCTGGGAACTTGAAGAGCACGAAGTGGCCTACAGTTGGCTCCGGGCATTCAAAATGTTGCCCGGGAATGGAGTTCTGGGAACTTGAAGAGCACGAAGTGGCCTACAGTTGGCTCCGGGCATCCAAAATGTGGCCTGGGAATGGAGTTCTGGGAAGTCGAAGAGCACGACGTGGCCTACAGTTGGCTCCGGGCATCCAAAATGTGGCCCGGGAATGGAGTTCTGGGAGGTCGAAGAGCACGAAGTGTGTGACTGTTTGCGAAAAATGAGTGCGGCGGCAGCCGCGCCGGGTCCCGCCCCGGGTCCCGCCCCGACCCCCCTGAGGAGTCATGATGCTCTCTTTTGAAACCACTAGAAGCCTATCAGCAAAAGCTCTTAAGCGAAAAACTATGCACGCACACTCGTTTACAGAAAACCGTCAGCTTTCAATAACCCCTTTCCAAAAAAAACAAACGAAATGCACACGCTCACGTCGTCGCGCGCGCATGCCGCCGAAATTCTTGTAATACAAAAAACTGTCGTAGGAATTTCAGAATCGAGCGCCCCGAAAGCATTCCAAATAAACGCATTTAATTTCACCACAATAATTTTCAAAAAGAGTTTGCGCTCGGGGTCCCGCGAAGACTTCAGAGAACCATGAGTTGTTCCACATCTTCATAGCTTGCTATCAAACAGGCCTCTCGCGCCCACATGTCGGAATCGTTCGAACGCCCTTGCGCGCGAACTGTCGCAAGAATCCCCTGCAAAAACATGCCAAAAACCGCACGTTCGTAGGGCGTTGAAAATCGAGCGTCCCGGGGGGAACAAAATTTAGTTTTGCAAGACGTTCTTGAGCGAAAGAAATGTCTGCGCTCGCGCTCCTGCGAATGCTTAAGACAACCAAAAAGGTTATTCAACGAGTTCGTCAAATTCGACCAAACGGGCCCCTCGCACCACGCCGAAATCATTCGAACGCCGATGCGCGCCTGCTGAGGGCGGGGGGACGATCCGTGTCAAATAACACCATGCGGGCCACTCTCGCGCGTCGGCTGCGCGCGCATGTCGAACTCCTTCCAAAACCTTCATTCATCACCGAATCGAAGACGCCGTCATCGTCGCGTGCGCAATCAGCAGCGGCGACGTCGCTGGTTTTGCCGTCGCCGTTGTCACCATCGTCACCATCCTTGCAACCATCATAATCGCGTCTACCGTTGTCGACGTTGCCCAACATGATACCGCGCCCGCCCAAGTCACCGACTCGCAGTGAAGGACAAGCTGGGAAATGCTCAGCGGTCAGCGCCACCGCGGCCGCGTCGGTCGCGAAAAAATAGTTGGCCGCTGCGCGCGCGAGCATGCGCGCGCTAGCGCGGCCGCAGAGATGAGGCACAAGCCAACGCCAAGCACTCATCGCAATCGCCGACCCATGGATTTTGCAATCCAAGCTGCGGGCAGGTGGGTTGGATGAGTGCGCGAGAAATGGATGGACAACTGCGAACAGAAATCAGTTGCACAACAAAGATTGCACCACTTAGATTGCACAACATCGATTGCACAATTTATATATATATATATATATATATATATATATATATATATATATATTGCATAACATAGACTGCACCAAATATATTGCACAACATAGGTTGCACCACACAGATTACACCACATCGGCTGCTAGAAACACACCGTTCAGGGGTCCAAGCTCGCTAACATGTCTTGGATTTCCACGGCACTCGGCTCTGCACGGCCTCTGGGCGACGACGGCGCGCCCGAGAAACGGCCCGAGAAACGACTGCGGGCCCCACAGGTAATGCTGGGCTCATGTGCACGACTGCCTTTGACTTAGGTCGGGCATGACAAATACACACAACAAAACAAACGATCCAAAATAGTCAAAAATTGTCCAAACATCGTCCCCAGACCATTTTATTTTCAAGTCTTCCTCCTGCCAGGAGGAGGGGCGTACTGTGGAGCAGCTGGGGGCGCGGCGGCGGCGGCCGGGCGCCTGCCACAGGGGGGGGCAGCGGCCACGGCGAGGCGAGGGGAGGAGACGGCGAGAGACGAGGAAGCCCCCGACGCGGCAGAGGGGAGGAGCCCTGGATGAAGGGGCCCTGGGACACAGAAATTAATACTCACAGATAACCCGATTCCCTATATTTTCCTATATTTTCTGTGTTTTTGTCTTCCCCCCACTTCCCATAGTTTCCCATATGTTCTGGGGAATCGACGATTAATTGTGTCTGTGTGTTTTTTCCCCTCCTGACTGTAGGAGGCGAAGGGTTGTGGATGCCATGACACTGGACACTCTAACAGTCCCATCATTGAAGTAAAGTTGTGTTTAGACATGTGTAAAGCATGTTCTAAAAATGTTTCAAACATGTGCTTTACCTTTTTATATATATATATATATATATATAAAAATTGGCAGCACGCTTCCTCTCCATGAACCGACTTCCGCAAGGCGTAGGGAGAGGAGGGGGAGGAGGAGCAGGCCCTTTCTTTTTGTTGCGCTCAAGTGCCGTCCCAGGGGGGCGGCTCCGGCCGGAGAGCGGGAGGGAGCAGCTCGAACTCCACGCACGCGTAGCCCGAGAGCGGGTGCACGTGGCCCCGCCTCGAACAGAGGCTGAAGTCGGTGAGCAGGAACCCGAGCTGCCGCATGTCTTCCAGAAACCTCTGGCGTGAAGCAGACGGGCCCTGGAGACGGGTCGGAGCCCTGGACCGCGGGGCCGTCCCCCGGGAGCGGCTCTGCAAGCTGAGCCGCTTGCTGACGGCCCTGGGGGCCTGGGGAGGGCCCCTGGAGGCCGAAGCAGGCGAGAAGCATCAGGACCCACCTGCTTCCTGGCGAAAACCCGACACCCGCTGGCATGATTTGTTCACGCCGCGGCCGCAGAGGTCCCGACCCCCTCCCCTGGGCCAGCTTTTCGCCCCGGAGCAGCTCTTTCTTGTGGCCCCGGGGCCCGGTCACCGGCACCAGAGGCCGAAATCAGAACACCCGTGGCAAAAATCGTATCCTTGAGGAGCTGTGGGCACCTGTCGCCCAGCGGGAAGCCCAGGGGCCACAGCCGCACCGGCAGGCCCGAGTGGCCCCAGTAGGTGAGCATCGCCCGGCACCCAGGCGCGCAGAGGCCGAGCAGCCGGCGGGGCAGCTGCTCCGCGGTGCCCGCGCCCGCGTACAGCTGCCCAGACACCAGCACCAGGTCGTAGGAGGCGCCCGCGGACGCGTTGGCCGCGTCCCTCAGGTCGGCCACCTGCTTGGGCATCGTTCAACCGATCCACGTCCCCACTGGCATGGCCTTGGGCCCCCCTGGCGGGTGTGACCCCCCAGGCTGGGACAGACGCTGCTCCCTGTGGGTCTCTGGGGGGGCCCGTCCCCGACTGGCGGGGTTGCCTGGTGCGGCGCAGATGCCATGGCCTAGCGGGGATGGGAATCGATCAAACGATACTGACTCTTGGACGACGCCGACCGTGTGCCAGGCCAGCTCGATGTTGCGCGTGCCAGCACGCGCGGCGTCGTGCATCGATCCGCAGCGAACTTACCACCGCGGTGGGCGTGGGCCGCCGGCGTGGCACGCCGCGCGGAGAAGGGGGCGTCCACGCGCGGGCTCACGCGGGCAACACACGCGCGGGCGTCAGCGCAGTCTGATGGGCCTGTTTTCCACCACCACCACCACCACCACCAGTTGGAGAGGGGGAAGGAGGAGGAGAAGGAGGAGGAGGAGGAGGAGGAGGAGAAGAAGGAGGAGGAGGAGGAGGAGGAGGAGGAGGGAGAGGAGGAGGGGGAGGAGGAGGAGGAGGAGGAGGAGGAGGAGGAGTAGGAGGCGGAGGACCCCCTCCCACTCCAGCTTGTGGTGGTGGTGGAAGACAGGCCCCATCGGCAGTCGACCCCGCTTCATGGCCGCCGCCCGCCTGCGCCCGGAAGCGGCGCCTGGCCTCGGGCGGCAGGTTGGCGCTGGCCGCCTTCCTGGCGAGCCGCACGGCCCTGGCGCTGGCGTCGATGGCGCGGACGGCCGCGCCCCGCCACGCCGCCACGAGGGGCCGGAGGGGCGCCCAGGCATGCTCGAAGGGGCCCAGGGACACACGAAGAAACGGGCACGAAGAACAGGATTCCCCATGCTTTCCCGTGTATTTTCTGGGCTCTCGTCTTCCCCCCCACTTCCCATATCTTCCCACATTCTCCTGGGAGTCGACGATTCATTGGTGTCTGTGTGTTGCTCTCCCCCCCGAGTGCTCGGCGACACGCGGGAGCGGCACTGGGCAGGGGGCGCGGCTTGCCGATCGCGGCGCGCGATGCCCACAGCTGCGGCCTGCGCGCGCCAGGCCTGATGAGCAGGCCGACCGAAGCTATGCGTGTCCGCTGCTCCCTGGCCAGGCCTACCCTGAACCCAGCAGCGGTTTGTACGCCACGCCCTCCTGCCGGAGCGTTCCAGAAAGGGTTTTTGGGGGGAGGGGGGTTTCCAGAGAGCCCCCCAGGGGCCTGGGACCTCGTCAAAACAGGGGGTGCGAAGCCCCTGGGGAACCCCTCCTGGAAAATCCCCTCCCAAAAAAAAACCTTTGGAACCCTCCAGCCCTGGCTTGGCCTGGAGGGCGTATACACAGCTCCTGGGTTCAGGATGGGCCTGGCCAGGGAGCAATGGATCTGTACAGATTATAAATATCGTCGGCCGGTCTGAACTCCCCCCCGTCCCACGCCCCGGAAACCGCGATACGAAGGCCACTCCGGCGAAGGGTCACTCTGATGCGCAGCCGGAGCACAACGTGCCCCGACCCTGGCCAGGGCCCAGGGCCACCCAGGGCCCAGGAAGAGGAGGAGGAGGAGGAAGAGAAGGAGGAGGAGGAAAGAGGAGGAGGAAGAAGAGGAGGAAGAGGAGGAAGAGGAGGAAAATGAGGAGGAAGGAGGAAGAGGAGGAAGAGGAGGAGGAAGAGAAGGAGGAGGAGGAGGAGGAGGAAGGAGAAGGAGGAAGAAGGGGGCGACCGCTGGTTTCGCCGACGGCTTGTTTCGCCCGGCTGGTTTCGCCTGGCTAGTTTCGCCTGGCTGGTGTCGCCGCCCGGCGAAACCAGCTCCGTCGGCATACCGGCTCCGTCGGGGAAACCAGCTGCCGTCGGCGAAACCAGCTGCTGTCGGCGAAACCAGCTGCCGTCGGCGAAACTGCCCGACCCGTCCCGCCCGCTGGGGTCTGCCCGCCCGACCCGACCCGCCCTATAGGGTTCGCCCGCCCGACCCGACCCGACCCGCCCGTTAGGGTTCGCGCGTGCTTGGTCGAGCGCGCCCCACACTTTACAGTCCCGCCCGCCCGACCCGACCCGCCCGTTACGGTCCGCCCGCCCGACCCGACCCGACCCACCCGACAGGGTCCGCCCGCCCGACTCGACCCGCCCGTTAGGGTTCGCGCGTGCTCGGTCGAGCGCGCCCCACACTTTAATGTCCCGCACGCCCGACCCGACCCGCCCATTACGGTCCGCCCGCCCGACCTGACCCGCCCGCCAGGGTCTACCGCCCGACCCGACCCGCCCGTTGGGATTCGCGCGTGTTCGGTCGAGTGTGCCCCACACTTTCCATGTCCCGCCCGCCCGACCCAACCCGCCCACCAAGGTCCGCCCGCCCGACCCGACCCGACCCGCCCGCTAGGGTCCGCCCCCCCGACCCGACCCGCCCGTTAGGGCTTGCGTCGGCGAAACTAGCGCCGGCGAAAACAGCGCCTGCGAAACCAGCCGCCGGCGAAACCAGCCGCAGGCGAAACCAGCGGGGCGAAACCAGCGCCAGCGAAACCATCGCCGGCGAAACCAGCCGTCGGCGAAACCAGCGGGGCGAAACCAGCGCCGGCGAAACCAGCGCCAGCGAAACCAGCCCATGCCAGGAGGAGGAGGAGGAGGAGGAGGAGGAGGAGGAGGAGGGAGAGGAGGAGGAGGAGAAGGAGGAGGAGGAGGAGGAGGAGGAGGAGGAGGAGGAGGAGGAGGAGGAGTGGTGCTGCATGCCGTTTCTGGCCAAGCCCACTCGAGGGTGTCGGCACCGACACTCCCAGATATCTCCCAGGCCGTGCTCTTTGTTGCAGCGCGGCCGCCAGAGATCAGATCCTGGAGCGCGTTTCTCTACTTTCGGCGATAGTGGGCATGAGAAGTGGGGGGGGAGGGGCCAGGGGGGGTATAATTTAGGAGGCAACTACTGGGAGGCTTTCGTCGGAAAGATTAAGGAGGACTAACAAAGCCCCATTTGGGAGCTATTACACCGGAATGGGCCTCGGATTAAGCGGGATTAGGCGGGATTAAGCGGGATTAAGCGGGATTAAGCTGGATCAAGCCGGACTAAGCCAGATTTGGGACCAGTGCAAAATCAGAATTTGACCTCCCAGGAGTTGCATCCCAATGTAATGTAACGCCTCCTCCCCGCCGTGCGCACGGCGGCAGTGCCCGGAGCGCACTGGGGGGGGGGGCGTCACGTTAGAGGGGGGGGAGAGAGGGGGGACCGGGGGCTATGATGCCCATTATGCTCCAAGCATTAAAGAAACACGCTCCTGGGACCGGCCTTTCGTCGGTGCTGCATGCCTTCTGGGCCAAGTCCACTCGAGGGCGTGCACCGACACTCCCAAATCTCCCGCGCCGTGCTCTTTCTTGCAGCGTGGCCCCCGGAGATCCAGATCCCGGGACCAGCTTTTCAGTCCGAGCCGCTCTGCTACGGTCCAGGGGCCGAAAACTGCCAGGAGCCTCCCGCCGCGACTGTCCCACAAGACGACAAGACGAAGGGAGGTGGGGGCCGAGGCTGGTGAACGCGCCTGGGGGCACCAGAAAATGCCGATACCGATACCGTGCTGTCTGACCAGGACTTCGGGGCGAAGCCAGCCGTGGCGACGGGGGCCTCCCAGGAGGCCCAAAATGAAGGGGCCCCAGGACACACAAATAAATACACACAAATAAAAAGATTCCCCATATTTTCCGATATTTTGTTTTTTGTTGTTTTCCCCCCCATTTCCCATATTCTCCCATATTGTCTGGGGAGTCGGCGATTAATGGTGTCTGTGTTTTTTCCCCTCCTGAAAAAAGGCGGAAGCGAGGTAGCGGTAGCGGCATCGGAGGCTCGACTGTCGCTTCTGGGTCACGACTCGGCCCTCTGCCGGCCGTCTGGAGCGATCCAGACCTCCTGGGGAAGGCTTTCGGCGAGGCGCGGATGCTGGAAGCCACCGCGAGGCTGCAAGACCGCCGAGGAACGACGGCAGCGTCCGAAGGCCTCGATCGTCGAACCTCGAACCTCGATGGGCAGTGGCCTTCGTACCTTCCGGCGGTGGACAGACCTCCCTTTAGCAAACCTCCCTTTCGTGGAAACGACCTGGGACCGAAGCCGACGGACCTGGACCCGCAAAAATGACGGCCGCGGCGCCCTCTCGCCAACCGCAAACGGCCAATTCCTTGATCGACGTGTCAGGGCAGGTGGTCTCTCAACCTCCGACGGAGCCATCCTTAGGGCAGCCTTGGACCAGACAGTGACCCCAGACACCCCTGGCCCAGGCCCCCGAGGAAGGGGCAGGCGGAGGGAGAGCCGAGGGGAAAAGGGAGACGTCCTGGAACGGAGGCTGCCCTGAACCACCTGCACCCAGGCAGCCACCTCAATCGACGTGTCAGGGCAGGAGGTCGATCAACCTCCGAACCTCGTCCTGGGAGCCTGCCCGGCGCCCTCCGAGATGGAGGGCAGAGCGAGGCCGGCTCCGAGCTCGATGGCGCGGCGGCCCTGCAGCGCCGAGGGCGGCTGCTGGGCCAGCCACGCGCCGAGGGCGTACGCGGACGGCCAGAGCACCGCGTCCATGACGCCCTCGTTCTGGAACGGAGGCTCCGGCTCCTGCTCCGGCGCTGCGGGGATCTGCTGACCCGGGTCCATCCAGACCCGGGGTCAGTCAGGCCTTGCAGAATCCCGCAAGGTCCTGCAAGGGCCTGCACCCAGACCCGGGTCAATGCGAAGGATCCAGCAAGATCCTGCAGGCTCCTGCGCCCAAACCCGGATCAATGCGACCCTGGCCCTGCAGAATCCTGCGAGATCGGGCGCTCTGGCTGACCCCCATTTGCACTGACCCCCGTCTCAAGGCTCCCGAGCGCTGCAAGAACCCAGCCATCCGGCGTGTCGACAAAAGATCGGAGCGGAGAGCTTCCATCGTTTTCGCCCTCCCTCGGGGCCCTCCTCGGGCCTCGGGACCGTCCGAAAACGGCTCGGGCCACCCGAAAATGGTCCCAAGGAAGGGGTCGAGAGGTCTTAGGAGGGGTCCTGGCCCCGGGGTGCTCCCGGCTTCTCGCGCCACCTCGGGGCCCCTGGGGCCCCCATCTGGGCCTCGCGAGGGGTGCTCTCGAGGCCACCCTGGGAGCCCTCGGAGGGCTCGTGGGCCTCGTGGGCCCGTGGGCCTCGGTGCCTCTTGGACCCCCGTGGGCCTCCACCTGGGCCCGTGGGCCCCCCCATCTGGGCTCGTGGGCCTCGGTGCTCCCGGGGCCACCCTGGGGTTCCCGGAGGACTCGCGGGCCACCTCGGGCCAGGACCAGCGGGGGCCCTCCTCGGGAGGGGGCCCGCGGGCGCCTCCCGCCCAGGGGCCAGGTCGGGCTCGGCGGGCTTCTCCGAAGGGCTTCGGCGACCCGTCCTCCTCCTCCTCCTCCTCCTCCTCCTCCTCCTCCTCCTCCTCCCTCCTCCTCCTCCTCCTCCTCCTCCTCCTCCTCCTCCCTCCTCCTCCTCCTCCTCCTCCTCCTCCTCCTCCTCTCCTCCTCCTCCTCCTCCTCCTCCTCCTCCTCCTCCTCCTCCTCCTCCTCCTCCTCCTCCACCAGCTCCTGCGGCAGCGCCCAGGCCCGGCCGCCGAGCTCCACGGCGACGCGCCGCACCGCCTCGCGGGGCCGGCAGGCACGGCGGGGTCGGGGGCCCTGCGCACTCGACCAGGGAGCGCCCTCGGCCCGAGGGGTGCTCGACCGCGGGCCCCTTGCGGAACGCAGCCCTCCAGCCTTTGCGCCGAAGACCACCGGAGGCCGCCAGAGACCGCCGAAGAGCCCCGAAGACCGCCAGGGGACCGCGGAAGAGTGGCGAAGGCCGCCCAGGGCCGATGGGCACCAAGGGGTCCACTCGGCGGCGAGCGAGGGGGGGAAATGAGAAGGAGGCGGCCTTGTCGGTGTCAGTGCAGTTGTTTTCAGCAAAGACCGCGCGGCAGTCCAACTGCGGGTGCGTCCCAAGGCCCTAGGACTAGGGCCAAAACAGCGGCGGGCAGCGTGCATGCCACAAAACAAGACAAGCGTGTACAACATACACACATGGTGGCACGGGCGGCAGAGGGGCAGGGGAGTGCACTCTTCACACTGGGTGAGTACAATGCTGCCCCGATGCCGCTCCCTCTGAAAGGGCAACGCTGCACGCAATTATAATGTATATCAGCCCACGGGCCGAAACACCTCAAGCAGATGCGGCCTGAGGCTCGAAATATAAATATGAATGTCTAGATTCACCAATCCAGACTGTCAACTCAAAAGATATGCATGAGACACCTCAAGCAAGGTGCGGCCTGAGGCTCAAAATATAAATACAAGAATATGAATATCTGGATACACTACTCCAGACGATCAACTCAAAGGATATGCATACATCACCGTAGCTCTCACTAGGTCCGTCAGCAGCTGCAATCAGGACCTCACGGGCTCGCAGGCCCTGGAACGGCGACCCGACGCTGGGCCTTCCGCTCCTTGGCTCGCTCACGCTGTCCGCGGCGCAGCCGCAGACGGTGTGCCTCCTCATCCTCTTGCTCAGCAGTAGGCACCATGCTGAACAGGCCGTGGCGGAGGAACTGCGATAGTACCTCGTTAGGCTGCACGGCTTTTGTCAACACATCCGCTAGCATGTGGCTATTAGGCAGCCACTTGAACTTGATGGCCTCCTGCTCTATCAAATCCTTGGCCACCAGCAAGTCAATGAGGGTCTGCCGAGACACCGGCATCGACCCGATCTTGGACGTGTGATCGTAGAGCGACTTCGCATCCGTCACGAGCGCCCCTGGAACCTTCAGCGCCAGCCTCCAGTCCCCTTGCAAGGGCGGCTCCCCGTACAAGATTGCCTCAATCAGCAGCCTGAGGTAAAGCTGCCGATCCAAAGCCACGGACATAGCCGCAGATTCTGCGGCCATCGAAGATCCAACAACTCGTGTAATAGTACTGCTCTGAAACTCCACTAGACAGCATACGGTTAGCTCCTTCAAAACTCGGGTGTCCGTAATCATACTCATGAACCCCATCTGGCTCTTACAGCCGGGTTCCTTCGCAAACGAAGCGTCCATAAGCGTGAGCACCTGCAAGCGCTCGATGTCCACACGGCGGATCCGGAGAGTCGCAAGACCTCTCTTGTCGTAGTCCTGAAGCCGGTCGATGATGTCATTGAGCACTCGCAGGTGCGGCAACCTCCGACCTTTCGGATCCTTCTGTGCGAGCGCCGAGACACTATACGCGAGTTGTGGCACCACGCGTGCGACAGGCCACCGCACCTTCTGGAGCAAGCTCCGGTAGTCGTGGTGCTCCTCGGGAGTCATCTCCCGCTCCTCGTTGTCACCCCTTGCAAGGGGGTGCCTCGTCAGCTTGCCGATGTACTCGTGCATGCTGATCTCGATGTGATCAGGGTGGCGCCACCACTCCTCACCGAGATAGGCGATTGCCTCCTTGTCGTTGCCCTTCTTCCAGTGCTTGATGTTGAAACGACTGTTAATGTTCGCCTTCACCTCCTGGTACTGGGGATCGTGTGGGTCTCCAAACAGCATGCCGTCATCGACGTGCAAGGTCAACATAGCGATCAACTTGTCTTTCATTCGATAAACGAAGACAGCTCGAGCACAGCGCAGCTCCACGAAACCGACCTCGTCCGTCAACACCTGGCGGGCTCGGAGATACCACAACCGAGGCGCCTCAGTCAGACCGTACGCCCCTTTCAGCAAGCGCAGCAACGCATAAGGCCGCACGGCTGGCCATCCAGCACCGTCGACGGCTGGAAGCCCGTCCTTAGGAGCCCTCACATACAGCTCCCGTTCCAGCTTCAGCCCGGACAGGAACGCAGTCGCTACGTCGAAACATTCGAATGTCCAATCCATCGCCATTGTGATAGACGCACACACCAGCACAGCCAAAGGGGAAGTAGTAGGCGAATCCGTCCTGAATAGACCAAGCTGCGGATCGAGATGGCCAGGGATGATCAAGCGAGACTTCGCCTCCAGCTCCGGCCCTCGTCCCCGGTTCGTGCGAACCGAACGCATGGGCACCGAGATGATCTTGTCCTTCGGGATGCTCTTCTCCTCCTCCTCGGTGACCAGCTCGACCGTGTTGTTGGCGATCCATTGCCGCCACTCGGCGGCATCGGCCTCGTCGAACTTAGCCTTCTCGTGCTGGTTGAAGTGACGTGGGTCTAGCTCCTTCGCGTTCTGCTTCATCACGAGTGCGAACACGTCGTGCTCGTACCTGGCCTCCTGCAGCCATGCGTCATACACAGATGACACGTTGATCCATTCTTCGTAAGTCATCGGCTGTCGTACAAGCCCCTCCGGAGTGTCCAAATAGTACACCCCTTGTGCATGAGCGTCCGGCTTGTCGTGGTAGAAAAGCGTGAGACCAACCCAGCTGTCCTCCGCGCGCTCGTTGGTACGGTTCGCGCCGTCGTCCTTGTAGGCACACTGGCCCGTAGCGGAGAGCATCACCGAGAGGCGATTGCACTCCCGGTGGCGGTCGTGATCATAGAGTCTCCGCCGTGGCTCTCGGTGTACACGTACTCCTCGTACGACCTTCTGAACGAGCGTGGAGACACCATCCAAGGCATTCTGGTCGAACCACTCCTGAGGCCCCGAGTGCACAACGGCGTTCATGGCCACTTCGCGGAGGGCCGGCAAACCACTCGTAGGAGCAGCCTGCAGACGCGTCTTCTTGATGCAAATCGGCACGTCATCTACCAGGAACTTCCGTTTTCGCTCAAGCTCGAAATCGTCTCTGGGAATCGGCGGCACCGAAGGGCCGCCAGAGCCCGATGCTCCCGGAGAGGCCTTCGGGTACACCTCAGAGGATATCCGCCCTGGAGGGGAACGAGAACGTTCCCTCTTCGGAGGGGGAAGCTGCGGCAGCTGCTGCTGCTCAGGCGGCTCCTCCTCCTTGGCCTGTGCCTCAATGGCGTCCAGGGCCCTGAGGTCCACACGAGGCTGCCTGGACCCCTCGAGCTCCCCATGTCGGTCACGCTCCTTCTTCAAGAACGTCTTCTTCACCTTCTGAACCTTCACCTTGGGCGTGACGTCCACGATGTCGCGGTAAGCGCGGTCATCTCGCTGCTGTGTCAGTCGCACGTCCGTCTGGATGGACTCCGCAGCTGCGGCCTCCTGGGAGGAGGCGTGCCGGAGCTGCTCACGAGCAACAAGTAGCACGTGACCACGCCAGGATACGTAGTAACGGCTGTTGGACTCCTTCGCGATCACAGTCGCAGGACCCCGCCATCTTTCAGGATCTTGCCGACGACGTCCCTTGAACGGATTCGGTGCCCAGAAATACACCCTCGATCCTGGGCACAGATCACCGACGACCGTCGGCGCCTGTCGTAGCAACGCCCTCCGCACCTTGTCCGTCGCGTCGCGCTCCAGCAACATCATCTTTGCTGCGGTGCGGATTTGGGACGAACGCCAAGCTATGCCCTTGGCGCCGAGGACCGACATGAGAACCTCATCGTCGTCCCTGTTAGTCACCTCCGTAAAGTTCAAGATCCGCCCGAAGACAGCCTGCTCCGGGGTCAATCCATTGCGGCTGATCGTGGAGTTTTTCGCATTGATGATGGCAGCCAGGGCCACAGTAGACATCGACTTGCCCTGGACGTGGAACTCGTGCACCACCTTGCCCCAGATAGCGCCGAGCAATCCTCCGTGGCGCTCGGCCAGGCCATGCTGCCATGCTGCATGAGCTCCCGTCGTCTTCGTATTAATGCCGAACTGCTCCATCAACGCGTTGAAGTAGCCCTCGAACTCGCCGCCCTGATCGATCACGATGTTTTCTGGCACGCCGTAATGCTTGAACCACTCGTTCATGATCTGGCGTGCTACGTGCTTGGCCGTCCTATTCTTGAGAAGGCAGGCGCAGTGCCATCCCGTACCGGCATCCACCATGCTGAGGACCACCAGCTGCTCCTTGGCCGCGTCCCGTAGGTACTTCACGTCGATCACAACCGTCACATTGAAGCCGAATGGTCGCACATCCGCCGTCCCTTGCACCGGACGGGGCGGCGCCTCCGACTCAGCACAAGTCGGACACTGCCAATGCTTCGCGTATGCCAACGCGTTAGGTGTGGCACCGCCGAGACGCAGCATCTTGATGAACGTCGGTCGGCTGGGGTGTCCAAGACCGCGATGGGCCTTGCGCACAGCACGTCGCGTACTTCGCGGAATCTTCATCATGATGTCCTGCCGCACCACCTCTGGAAGCTCCATTTCTGACCAGGAGGCTGCAACCTCCTCCTCCTCCGCAGGGTGCTGCATGGACTCCTCCTTCACCGTCTTCTGCAGTGCCTCGCGAATCTCTGCTCGAACCTCCTGCGGTGTTTTGCCCCACTCAGGTCTCTCCGAAACGTCCCTGGGAACCTCTCCATGACCATGCTCCGCGGGCTCGGGTCCATAACTCCTGGGCTCCTCCGTGGGGTCAGGGAGTTGTGCTGCAGGAAAACTCGAGTTCTCGAACTGCCAGGCCAAATGATCCGCGGCACCGCTCATCACAGCCGTGCCGAACTCCTCTGCGCAGCTCCCGCGCACGGCCGTGCAAACCCCAGGGTTCGCCAACACTCTCGTGGTGTCCTTGAGGCAGATTGCGTCCTCGAATGCTGGGTTCGACTTCGTTGCACT